GGTCTCTTGCTTGAGAAGGGGTTTTGTTGACAATACCCCCTCCACATGCCGCATTCACCATGCGTCTATCTTGATCAACAAGCCCATCATAGAAGTAGAGGATGAGATCTTGTTCCGAATATCCATGATATGGGCAGCTAGCGCATAATTTCTTAAAGCGCTCCCAATATTCGTACAAGGTCTCATCATCGGCTTGCTCAATGTTGCTGATTTGCTTTTTGAGACTTGAAGAGATAGATGCGGGATAATACCTGTCGAGGAAACTCTTTTTCATTTGAGCCCAATATTCGTACAAGGTCTCATCATCGGCTTGCTCAATGTTGCTGATTTGCTTTTTGAGACTTGAAGAGATAGATGCGGGATAATACCTGTCGAGGAAACTCTTTTTCAACCGCTCGAGAGTTCGTTCTATTTCGGGGTTTGAGTGGTATGTGATTTCGTTCAGTGAACGATATTTTACCATGTACTACAAAGCTCAGCAGAAATAGAAATCTTTATACTTTGAACCATATATTTTTTTTTTCTTTTTCTGTAAAAAAAAATAAAAAGAAAAATTAATTGCCTTTCCCCGGCAACGGCGCCAAATTTGACGTGCACTTTGTCGTGAGTGCACTCAAAGTAAATTCAATACAACACTTATACGTAGTATAGTGAAGTAGAGTTCGTATCCACAGGGAAAGGAATAACTTTCTTTTTATGAATATAGTAAATAAAGGGGGGGTTTTGTCTGATTTGGTTTAATTAATTTAAACACGAAGATGAACGAGTTATATGGGATTAAATTCAAGAATAAAAGGGACTTGGTCTTGCTACTTTCCACTTGTTGATATATTTTAGTCGATCATTGTTATTTCCATAACTTATCCCCTCTCGAATACTCAATCGCGGAGTATATCCAGTTCATCGAGGGTAGTTATTAACAACGACCGTTCATTAATAACCCTTACTATTAATCGAATATAGAACAACGCCGTATACCGATATAATAGTAGCATTTAACCTCCTTAACTCCTTGATGAAATCAATTGAGATTGATAACCTCAACGCAACGGTTTCGGTTTAACCAACAAAATTAATCCCTCTTAAGTTTATTAACCACGACCGTGCATTAACAAACCGAAGTTACTTACTTATGAAACTATCAACGATTAACCATCGGTTCGTTGATCGTTTCTAGTAATAATCAATGTTGGAACGTTAACTAATCGTCACTTAGCAACCCTCCAACAATGATGTAGAATGAGATTAAGGGAAGAATTAATAATCAAGAAGAGAGAGTAAGAAAATAACTCACAACTTTAATAATCAATCAAGCTTCAAGAGCAAAACCAAGAAATGGAAGTTTAGCTCCTCATTTGGAGACTAAACATGCTAAAAGAAATATAGAGAAATGCTATTCTAAACTGAGCTTAAGAGTATAAAGGAATTGGTGTCTAAAAGTGAAGGAAAGGAGGTGTATTTATAGGCTTTTTGAGGTGCAGGCCCAGTACTCGATCGAGTATGTACATATACTCGATCGAGTATGTGTAGAAACCCGAATTTGGTCAATACTCGATCAATACTCGAGTAGATTTTATATGTATACCCGATCGAGTATATAAGTATACCCGATCGGGTATAGACACTCGAACGTGGGAAAATCTTCTCCTGCATGTTCCTTTGTTTTCGGATCCGATCCGATTTGAAATGTCAACCAGATACCCGATCGAGTATATGTATATACTCGACCGAGTATAGACCAAAATCAGGATTTTTCCTTCTTTTTGTCTTGTACTCTTGCACCTTCCTTCACCATTGATCATTTGATTGATCTTGGACCTGTTTAAGCTCAGAATAAACCTAATCTAAACAAATTACAAGAATTTAACAAACTAAACTATTACACCGAAAGTGTGTAATTTCCGAAATATTAAACAATCAAAACTAACTAAAAACGTAAATAAACATACGGAAATTACAAACGTATCAATGGGCCTCACAGACTGGGCTCCGTACTACGTAAAGTCTTGGACTCCTGAACAGTAACGGACCGGGATAATATATCTCAACACTTCTTTTGCAAGAAGCTCCAACCACATTTAATAAAAGAGATATCATTTCAAAAAAATCACCAACATCAAAGTGTTTCTTCGAGACCGCCACAACAACTAATTGTAATTGATGAGCAAAACAATTGATATAGTAGGCCGAGCTATTTTCTTTCATGATTAAAGCTCTCAACCCATTGAACTCACCTTGCACAGTGCTTGCACCGTCGTACCCTTGGCCTCTAACATTTTTCAAACTCAAGCCATATTCAGAAAATACAGAGTCAATAGCAGATTTAAGAGACAAAGAAGATGTATCCTTCACATGAACAACACCAATAAATCTTTCTTTAACTATGCCACACTGATCAACATACCTCAAAACCATAGCCAATTGCTCCTTGTAAGACACATCACTAGACTCATCAACCAACAAACTAAACACATCATCACCTATCTCCTTGAGCACAGAATGAACAACTTCTTGTGCAAAACAATTAGCAATGTCTTTTTGAATGCTAGGAGCAACTACTTGATTATTTCCTGGAGCATTTTTCAATACAACCTTACTCACAGCATCATTTTGACTAGCAGTATACTTTATTAGTTCCAAAAAATTGACTCTATTGTTAGACTCTTCAGATTCATCATGACCACGATAAGGCAGTCCTTGATGCAATAAAAATCTTGAAACATCAATAGAAGCATTCAAACGAATACGATATTCATTCTTCACAATTTCATTTTGTCTATGCAAAGCAACAGCAATTGTCTGGTCCTGGTTCATTAAAGCATCACATTTCATAAGTGCCTTATTGTGGAAACTCTTTATATTACCCACATAAGAAGCTAATCGCTCTGTTTTATTCCAACTTGAGAATCCTTCGGTTACAAATGCATCATTCCTAGCACGATTCTCAAAGTGATCTTTAAACAAGTAACAAGGCAAACAAAAGGCTGTGTCATCTTGTATACTATATTCTAACCAATTAGGATATTGATCAAACCATTTAGAGTTAAAGCGTCTTAAAGTCTTCCCAATCTCTTTTCGTGGGGAATCATGACCACGTGGTTGACAAGGTCCTTTAATCAAATATTTTCTCCTGATTTCATCTCTTTGATTAGGATGGTACTCTGGAATTTCTATTCAGAACCGACTGTTCCAATTTTGCAATTTAAGAAAATTGAAGTCTTTTCCTTTCATAAATGTTCTTTTTACATGGGGCATTCATAACGGGCGTCGGGCGGACATCTCCCTGGCTTAGGGTTTTGAATACTGCCGCGTTGGGTGCGGCTTGTTTTAGCAGGGTAGCGGTTTGTTTCATTTGCACATTCGTTGGGCTTGTGTTCGCTCGTCGTTGGAGGAAGCTATGTGGCAGTCAAGAGATGACACAGGAGAGACGTCAAGAGGAAAAGATTTGCGGCAGACTGGAGGAGAGTTTGCGCCGGACGGGAGCAGAACCTTCAACGTTAGGGTCTGGAGCCGTGCCTTGTCCGCGTCAAGGATCATAGCGATGGTCCGGGCTCCTCCTGAACTACCGCCAGGGGTTTAACGATGTGATAGAGTTCAAGAAATTTATTTCGCTTATTTAGTTTTCTTCATGTTTCATTTTTATTTGAATTTTTACTTTGTTTTGGTTGTGCTGTGTTTTTTAGACAATAAAACTCTAGAACTTATGACAGGAGATGAGGAGTCTGGTCTGCAAGTCATTGGCTCAGTTAAGTCCAAAATGGAATTGGCGAATTATATTGCTTCTACGGATGTGATTAATTCTAAGTGTGATTCTAGGGCGGACGGCACACAGAAGACTTGTTGTCATTTTGTAACCTGCTTACGTTCTGTTGTGATTTTTTTTGGAGGGAGGGGGGGTCTGTTATGATAATTTAAGTCACTTTCGTTAAAAAAATGTTCTTTTTACACGTCATATTTTTCTATGCATCCCTTATTTTGTCTGTATGTATAAAACTATAAATAATTCGTCAAACAAAAAAATCCAAAGTTATCAATCAAACAATTTGAACTTGTAAATGCACACGTGTGCGTAGAACGATTATCCTAGTATTTCGGTCTTTCAAAAATGATCGAATTCAATCCAATGTTAAACTTAAAATTTAAAACTTAAAATATACTCTGTATGTCCTACTCACCCGTCATCACTATCAGTTTATCACACATTCACAGTTGGAAAAAGCTATTGGTATCCCAAAATGGGGTACCCCATTTGTCCCCAACCCTATTGGGTGGCCACAAATAAGGCAACTCATTTAAGTGGGGCACCACTTAAATGAGTTGCCTCATTTGTGGCCACCCAATAGGGTGGGGGACAAATGGGGTACCCCATTTTGGGTACCTATAGCAAAATCCTTCACAGTTTCATACCATCCACACCTTTGAGATATACTACTCCCTACGTCCCATTTTACTTGTGTTACTTTCCGTTTTGGGTTGTCCCAAAATAAATGTCTCCTTTCTTTTTTCGAAAAGAAATATGTGGCCTATATCATTTCAATTAATTATATTCAAATCTCACACATCTTTTACTTTTTAACTACTTTATTAATAATAGTGTCAAGTCAAAATGACACACATAAAATAAAATGAGACAGAGGTAGTATTACTATTTTCAATAAAAGCTCTTACTTCCAGATGGTTATTAAATATTCCGTATATTATTATGAATATAAAGAAAAACATGTGGTTAAATTCAATGCAAAGTTGCAATACACTTCTGATAAAAAATTTATGGAGCTTTATATGATTCTACTATGAAGTCATATAGCCTATGTGGCCTCATAACAATCATTCATAATCATTCATTTCTATAATAGAATTATAGTGGAGGAACCTACTTCACAAATGAATGATTGTGATGATATCACATGTGATATTTTCTGTCTCTTAATATTTTGCCAAAGTTGACCGGCACGGAGAGTAATAAAGTAAAAACTGTGTGGTTAAATGAAAAGCTACAAAGTTTAGTCTTTAGGAACGTTCTAAAAAGTGAGAGAGACAAAGTTTTAGGGAATAATAAGGAGTATGGAGGAGTGAAATCTCCCCACTTCTGGCCGGCTAGTCTCAGCCTCCATGTTGGAGCAGTGAGCTTCTGCACGAGTACACGGAAGGTATACAGTAGTACTCCGTATTTAATGATAGCCTTTTTCTCGACTACATCTTTTCGTTTTGCCACTGCTAGGTTTTTCTCGAGACCCGTACCGAAATTCTTCGTTGTACAAGTCTTCTCTGAAATTTTCATTTCTGCGTTTTGCTGATGGCCTTGTACGATACAACGGTTGCAATTACACTATATCGTTTGATTTTTTGTAGTTCGCGGGCTTGCTAGTAGTGATTATGCCTGTGCCGAGGTTACTGACTTACTGCTTTTGTTTACATGGATCCGGGAGGATTTGTCAATGCCATGGTAGTGACGACTGGCCTATCATGTTTAGGAAATCATTATGTGTGTGCCCAATTATAATATGATTTTTTGGAATATGAATTTACTCTATTCTGTCCCCTCCTATGTGACCTTTTCACAATTTAGCTTTTAACACTGTATTTCATATAGCTGCACTTGAATGATTTGTTTTAGAATCATGGGATTATGCGGAGCACTACACTTACATTATCTTATTTCAATGATATATTGATGTGCACACTAAGAGGATTAGAGGTTAAATAATTCTTCTACCGGGTTAAAAGAAATCTTGGTAGAATGGGAAATAGTATGAAGGGTAAGGTGATAGATTTGGTTTCATTACTCCATAGGAATGATAGGATTACAACTTTTTTCAGGAGGAAGGCAAGGTCACATACTCCACATTCAATAAGATACTCCATGCAAAACTTGAGTATTCATACACTCAGAATGATTTGTATGGAGTTTATTTATACTTTGAGGGATACCAAACACTTACCATTTATACTTTAGTTCACATAATTCTATAGGAAATTATCTTACCTCAAATTGCTATGCTGCTATTTCCTGGGAAAACTCCATAAAAGACTATTGAACAAATTTATTATGACATGTGCCCACATGGCATGTGAATTCACCATTTTATGTCACATATTTGATCTGTTTATTATTATTTTTTTGTAGACATTTTCTTGGTTGGTTCTTACATTCATATTTGAATCACTTTTCAGCTTTAAAAGGTTTTGGTAAACATCTTCTAGCAGTATGGATAATAACTCTGAAGGGGCCATAGACAGTGTAGAGGGAAAACCTTGTAGAAGAAAAAGAAGCAATCTATATCGCCGTCCTCAAAATGACTCTCATTCACCTCCAGATGTCTATGCTAGCTCTTCTATGTCATCTATGCTGCCCTCAACTAGTCAGAGAAAAGGATCAAGTGGTGACAACTTTGATGCTATTTCAGGGGTAGCGTACTCTAACCTCAATGAAACTGAATATTACCAAAATGCTGGTGGCAAAAATACCCATCAATTTCATTCCATAAGTGATGTCTATCCCAGCATAGGAACTAAAGATAATTTAGCAACTGCTACTGTGAGCAATTTGGAAACATTTGGAAGGATAGGAAGTGATTTCCAATCTGGACAATCAGGAGCATTGTCGCACGGAGTTGAAAGTCAAGTCAAGAAAGTAAAACTTAAGGTTGGCGGTGTTACTAGGACTATACATACAAGCTCTGGTTCTGGGCATTTGTTGGCTAAGTCATCATCCTCATCAAGTGTTGCTCACCAACATCAAAAGGTTACTTCTCTAATTTGCATTTTTTAGGAAAAACTCATTAAATATTACTACCTCTTTGTTGCTAAGGTTGAGGCATGAGGAAGTGGCACAATTATTAAGAAAAATGGAATTATGCGGTTGGTATATAATTTGGAATGTATGATTAAAGTAAGAATGAATTGGAACCACACAAATATTACAAAATATGTTATTAGAAAAACTGAATGGGATGGATAAAATGGGAAAGATGAGACAAAGATAGTGGGACGGAGGGAGTACTAGTTAAACTGCCTGTTGGACGATAATGTTAATTTTTTATTTTCGGTCAATAATATTATCTTCGCAAAACGCAGCTACAAACGGCCAACTGACACTATCAATTATCAACACAATTACCAAGAGGCAACTAGCCTGCGACAGTTGCCGGTTGGTAATTGCTTTTGTGAGATCTTTGTCCTAATTTTGTCCAATGGGTATCTAATAAGTAACATTTATGGAAAACCCCTTTGTTTTTGTTTGTAATATCTTTTTACTACTCTTGAACTCCATGGGTTATGACCTAAGAAAATCATAATGGCCCAAAGTAAACACAATGAGTTCAACTGTAATTGATGAAATGTTTGCTAAAGCTGTTACAAACTTGCAAATGGTTGTAGTTTGGGTCAAACTGATGTCTGCACTTGAAAATTTGCAGGATAGTTCAGACAAGGGAAATGTCTTGCAAGGTGTTCCGTGGAAGGACTTCTCGAAGAATGGATTTATTTTTGGGAGATCTAGTTCTTCAGGGGATAGCCCTCTCAAGCAAACTGCTAAATACAACCCAGCACATACAAGCAAACATTTCTCTAAAACATCCAAATCAGGCGAATTCAACACTGAGTATGACGATGATGATGATGCTGAGATTCGTTTTCTTGAAAAACTAAAGACCTCCAAATTTGCTACAAGTCGTGGCGGAGCATATGATGAAGATGAAGGAGGAATTAAGAAGCTGCGGAAGATTTCAAGAGTCTTGAATCAGACTGGCAACATTTATGATGTAAAATCATGGGATTACAACCCCATCAAAACATCCCAAGAGAGTATTAAGTTCAAATCAGTTGGAGAATTTGGGGATAATGATTATGTAAAAGAGGACGAGGAGTCATTATCTGATCATGAGTTAAGACCTAAGATGAAACAATGCAAGGATTTAGGTCGAATATCAGGGAGTGCTAGGAATGAAATGGCTATGACTACACGAAAGCGTGCCCAACAAACTGGCAAGGAAGTATCATCCATTTCCAGTATAGGTGCAGTTGAATTTTCTCAGGGACTACCACCTCATCCTAAAAGTCAGTGCCAATCGATATGTACGTGTGTTTCCAATTGTGGGTAAGTATATCCTTTCATTGCTATCTCGGTTTGTTGCAGAGCAAAAGGAGAAACTCTCCGAAGTTGAACAACAACTGAAAAAAGCGGAAGCTGCTCAGAGGCGCAGGATGCAAGCTGAAAAAGCTGCTCAAGAATCCGAGGTCTCAAGATTTTTCTCTTAATTCATAATTTCTTTGATTTGATGGAGAACATCGAGTTGTGTAAGGAGACATGCTCATAATTCATAATTTCCTTGGCTTGATGTCTACAGGCCGAGGCAATCAGGAAAATCTTGGGTCAAGATTCTAGCAGAAAGAAGCGAGAAGATAAACTAAAGAAGAAACAAGAGTCAGCACAGGTGACGATACTTGAAAATTGATCCCTTCTTTCCTAGTGGTCATTTTGTTTTTGGAAAAGTTTCTTGAACGTTTAAGTAACTATCCATTGGCCAAATGCTAATTTTCAATTTTAGGGAAAATATGTTACCAGTTTACTAGTAACAAATAACAATTCCCCCCCCCCCCCCCAAATAAAAAAAATAATAGGTATCTAATACTCCCTCCGTCCCTAAATAATATGTTAGAGAGCAGGAGGCAGTTGGGCCGATGCTCCAGGAGGAGGCAACTAGGCCGTTGCTTCAAGAGGACGGGCCTCGCCCATTATTGGTTTACCGTCGTCGCCAGCGGGCCTAGATGGGCTCGATTGACTGCTGGGTTTTATTACTTTATTTCATTCAATTGTTATTTCTAATAAACTGCTGGGCCTAGATGACCATATTTCTCGATTATTCATTATCGAGAATAAAGATTTGGTTTGAGCCTAAGGCTGGGGAGACGTTAATATCATCTGCTAGGGTTTTCAGCTTCTATCAATTTGGTCAGACTCAGAAGTTAATATCAGACGTTAATATCATCTGCTAGGGTTTTCTGCTTCTATCATAATACCGCATCCGTCCCGCTTAAAGGTTCCCATTACAAAATGACATGGTTATTTAGACAATAATTAAATAAGGCATTCAAGTGTATTTTGAGAAATAATTTTGATGATTGTATAATATAAGAGGTCATTGATGATAACTGTGATGTTATAGATTGTCATTTAAGATTGTTAATTGTTTCCTAAAATAGAAATGAGAACCTTTATATGTGACGTTCAAAAAAGGAAAGTGAGAACCTTAGAATGGGATGGAGGGAGTAGTTATGTAATTTCTTTTTGGGCTGTCCCAAAATAACGGTTATGTTTCCTTTTTTGGCTAATGATCTTATATACCATTCATACTTCACCAGTCCTTTTACTTAAATCGACACTTGGTCATTTCAACTTTACTTGCATTTTCATTGTTACAACAAAAGTAAAGGATAGTTTAGGTATTTTATATCATTTTCTTAATCTACAAGCTCTAACAAAGTGTCACCAATAAATTGTGATGGAGGTAGTAGTATTTTAACTAATTTTCAAGGAGAACCACCTTCTGTTTATGCTTTGTACTTTTTATGTTGCAGGAGAGGAAAACAAAAGCAGCAGCTCATCCATCAAATGCTATCAGATGGATACTGGGTCCTTCTGGAACAGTTGTAACTTTCCCTAGTGAGATGGGCCTCCCAAGCATATTTGAGCCCAAGGCCTGCAGGTGGAGAGTGTTTACAAGCTTTTACATATTTTTTGTCTTATTTTGAATATATCCTACATATATGTTTTTCTCCAATCTTTTTATGCACCTGCTTTCTATGGTAGGTATTGTTTGCCAGAGCTTCTGAAAAACACTTTTTACTGATTGCTTTAGAAAAAGAATAAAGTAGTGTTTTTATGTTGATGCTTCTACTGAACTTGAAGTAATTCAAAACTAAAAGGTGTAAGCAGGGTCGAGGTTGCTTTAAACTGTTCTACAATTTTCTATAACATTTTACTTTAATAATATACCCAAAAGTATTTTTTACCAAACACTTAAACTTTTATTTATTTAAACCACTTTTTGTTTTTCAAGCACTGCAAACTTTTATTACAAATCACTTTTTATATAACCTGCAAAATAAATCACTTTTCAAAAGTATAAGCAAACTCAAACATTCCCTCCCTAATCCTCTTTTTCCCGCACGATGATATCGGGTAAATCTATGCATTCACATGCTCTAGTTGATTTCAATTTTGAGTATTTCAGTTACCCGCCTCCGCGTGAGAAATGTGCTGGTCCATCTTGTACAAATGTGTACAGGTATCGAGATTCCAAATCAAGACTTCCTCTATGCAGCCTTCAGTGCTACAAGGAAATACATAAGAAGGTGGAACTTCTTGGTGCATGTTGATTATTATGTTGTCTATCGATTTTTATGTTTTAAATGTGAGTGGGCACTTTTTGAGCATTTGTCCATCTACTATGCAACTTTGTTTAGGAAGATTTGATGTCGTAGTTGAATGCAAAATCATTTTGTACAGCTTTTGAACATGATATAACGTCTCAGCTCCCAAAACCATAGCCATTGGTTACCAAGATCTAGGATGTTTTCTTTTGTACTGTTTTCAATCTCACATCGGACCAGACTTCCATAGTTCCATGTGGTTGAGCAAGCGGTCCAGCTTATTGGTAGCCAACTCACTCTCCCATATGGGAGGTCTGGGGTTCAAAACTTCATGGAAGCAGGTTCAGCCCACTTTACCCCAGGTCCCCCAGCCCCCTCCCTTGACCTCCGGGGTAAAAAAATCGACCATGTGTTTTGTGACTTGAAGTTGAGAATATGATTCCAAATGAAAGTGCACTCTTATGAACAGGTGTTGTTCTTTGAGCTTTCTGGGGTGTCTTACTTTCGTATTTATTTTTGCATCAGAAGAATGGATGTAATGGGACTAGGCATGGACCGGTTCCGGGCCGGTCCAAACCGGCCCGGGATTCCACTGGGTCCGGGTCGGTCTCGGGCCGGGCTGGTTCAATGTTTTTGTTTTTGGCTTTTCTGATTAACCCCCCCCCCCCCCCAAACACCCAGCCCAACCCAGGGAAAACAAAAAAATGTAAAAAAAAGACCCGAACCGGGCCCGGGATGGTTCCTATTTTCCATGAACCGAGCCCGCTCTTAGTAACACCCGATTTGGATCGGCCCAGGGCCCCAGACCAGTCCAGGGCCTGGTTGACGGCCCGATTCCAAACAATGTTGGGTTGGGCCACGGGCCGGTCGGCCTGGAACCGGTCCATCCCTAAATGGGACCTGCTCTGGTTGAGTTTCAGTTCCATGCCAGTCGCTTGCACGTAGGGGTGGACTCGGGCCGGGTGGCCCGACCCGGAACCGGCACTGTTTCGACCCGGCCCGGTGGCCCAGTCAGTGACTGGTCCAGGTAGGCCCGACCCGCTGGGGTTTCGGTCCGGGCTCGGGCCCCCTAAATCACGAACCGGCCCGGCCGGTTTGGGCCCGGTTCAGGTTCATTTTATTTTTTTCCCCCAATTTTTTATTTGTTTTTGGGTTGGGTTGGGTATTTTGGGCCATTTGGGATGGTTTGGGGGTGAGGGGGGTGGGAGTTAACTAGGAAAAGGAAAAAAAAAATAACTAAGGCCCGGCCCGACCCGGACCCGGGGAGTACCCGGGCCGGTTCCAGGCCCCCCATTCCTGAACCGCCGGCCTGACCAGGTCTAGGTAGGCCTGGACTCGGGCCGGGCGGCCCGGCCCGGCCACTGTAGCAACCGGCCCGGCCCGGTGGCCCGGTCCACCGGTGGTTCTGGTCGAACCGGTCCGGTGGTTCCCGGTTCCGGGCCCGGGCCTTCCATATGGTGAACCGGCCCGGCCGGTTCAGGCCTGGTCCGGGCCGGAAATAATTTTTTTTTTTTTTTTTGAAATTTTTTTATGTTTTGGGTTAGATTAGGTATTTTGGTCCATTTGAGGTGGTTTGGGGTGGTTTGGGGTTGAGAAAGAGGGGTAGGGGATTAAATAAAGAAGCCAAAAAAAAATAGGGCGGTTGGCCCGGCCCGGAACCGGCCCGGGCCCGAACCGGCCTGAGTCCACGCCTGCTTGCACGTCATGTGAACAAAGACACTAACGAGGGAAACTGGAACCTTAACTGGGAATCTCAGGCCGGTGGATAAAGACATAGCCCGAACTGGTCTATTCCTACTTTGGAGGAACTGGAGAACTCGTCTATCTTTTAGGGGGGAAAATCTACCAGTCCTAGTTTGTTATCATAAATGGGACCTGGTCCACTCCTGAGTCCTGAATGGGTAGGGTGATCTTTGTTCAATCATTTGTGGGATAGGAGTTAAATGAAGTAGTGAGAGTTTATTGTTGAATTTTTTTGTTGTTTTCTGTCAATAAACTCTTGCTCCGCCGTGAAAGGAATATGGGTGTTTTCAAGAGGATAGACTGACTCAGATTTTTTCCCAAATTCCAAAATAAACATGTTTAGGAATAACTGTAGACCCCTGCAGTCACTGAACATTATATTGAATAACTGTAATTCAAAATTTTTACGTTTTCAAGAATAGGGAATATACGTATTAAAATAATTAATAGGTTTGATTGATGAATTTGATCAATTGTACTCCTAGAGGAGAAAAATATTTGGAAGTTACAAGCTTCAAGTTCATGGATTGAGATAAATACACTGCAACAATTGTAAACATCTACAATCAGTTAACTACCAGGGAGGACACCCTTCTTCAGCTAGATTTTTTTTTTCTCTTTAGTATTATTGCCTACTTCTGAGAACCAAGTAGAATGCCCTCCAACAAGGTCAGGTACTGTCAGTTTCAGGTCAAAAGTTATAGACTGAAAAACTAATGCCAACAAGTTTACGTCTGCCATTGCTCTATGCTCTGTACCGAGTAACGGGAACTTGTAGTGTTCCCGCATGTCTTTCAGTGATGCTTTTGGAAGGCCCTTTGCGCCTAAATGCCCTAAATGCCATATAAGCTCAGATCAATTATAAAAGTCAGAGATAGCACAAGGAAAGGCAAAAGAACAAATAAACAAGAAAATTGTAGAAGATGAAGTACCTGCAGATTTCATTACTTTACGAGCCAGAGGAAGTGTGTCAATAAACAACCAGTTTGAAGGAATGGAGTAACGACATCGGCTAAATTCGTTGATTAGAAAAGGGACATCGAAACTACGAGCATTGTGAGCAATCCACACTACATACCCACCAGGTTTCTGGCGGCTTCTCACATATTGTAACAAGATGGGAATTAGGTCCTCCATCCTACACAAATACATGATAGTTTACAGTCCTCTCTATCAAATGAACTGTAGTTACCGAACATTCCTCTTGTTCACATTTTTGTACTTTCCGTGACAACGATCCTCTCTATCAAATCTTTCTTCATTGCCCTATGTTCATTTCCGTAGATAAAACCAGTCTTACAGGAGTCCTATCAAATTTTCCCTTCTATGTTTATGCTACATTTCAATCCTATAGTACAAAAAAAGAAAGCTAGGGCAGTGAAGTCCCTCTCGTTCACATTTCACCTCATTGAAGAGGCACATTTATAGAGCTATGTGAGTGACTTATGGATGAATCTGGAAGTCGTTGCGAAACTATATTTGGACAACCCATGAGTAATAACCCATGAGATAATTATGTAATTTTCTCACAAGATGACTTCCAGTGCACATAAGATATGATGAAGTACTGGTACATGTGCGACCTTTTCAACTACTCCTAATTCTATTTTTTCATAAAAGTTCACACTTTTAATTTCTAAGCTGGACAACGCTTTTTATTGATTACATACGGAGCATTTACAATTTTACACTTTTCACATTACAAGTGGAAAACAAAAGGACAGAAACTTTTCCATAACTTAGTTCGGGATTCTAACTCATTATTCTCCTACTATAATTCAATACATTCTTTTTTGAATTGGAGTTTTATTATAGCTCTAATGTATATGTATCAGTCCATAGAGTTTTTTTTCCCACTGAACATTCTAGTCAAGTAATATGTCTCAGCATTTTATAATGTCAAGATTGTATCTCTAGTTCTTTTCAAAAGGCAGACTAAATATTCTTCCCCTACATCAACCAACAAACCATTGCACAAAATCTCAAATGGGCTTCAAAGTAAGAAGTTTAATTTGGGACGGAGGATTATTACTTTTAAGCAACATCAAAACATAATTCTACTATCACTCAAATCACAATATTAGAAAGCCCTAGTTCTTACCTAAACTTAATCAGCAGGATAGGTTGGAAAATTGAACCTAAAATAAGTCATGCAAATATGCAATCAAAACAAACCAACAAATGACACAAATGCAGACAGTAAGATGCATACACTACAGGAATCTACCAATATACTTCATTTAATATACCTGGGGACATCAGGCCTGCAGACCATATGAGTCGAAATTCCATGAACAGAACCATTTTTCACATAGCACCCAGGATTGACCAGAGTCTGTAAAGTGCTATTTTCACCTCCAACTAGGTCCCTCAATGCAATCTCTATTATTCGACATCTCTCACTGCTAAACCCAGTGGTCTCAATATCAAAAGCGATAAAAGTTATAAGTCTAGCCAATTCTTTATTTTCAGTAATCTTTTCCCGAATATCATAGTATTCATTTTTTTCAAGCGCGGTTATTTCTGATTTATATAAATCTACTTTAGATGTAGTAATCTCATTTGATATCTCTTCTCTAATAGTTTTTTTGCTTCGTATACTATCCACTGTTTTCCCTTCACTTTGGGTTGTTAGGGGGGCTCCTCCATTCTCAGTCCTGTTACATCTGTCTGGCCCGTATTTACATGAGGCAAGAACTTTAAATCTAAACCTAACACACCCACTCTTGCTAAAATGATCAAAACCTTGCCACCAAGAATTGGCTAAGGTATAAGCTCGGCATTGAGGAGACATTATAAGTGGGAAAAACATGGCATCTAGTATGGTCCAAATTTAACACTTGCTCAAAATTCAAGATGAAATTTAATACGGTGGAGTAATAGCAATCGACCTGCAGAAACATAAATGAAAGAGTATTGACCATGTAAATTTGCTTAGGTTACCAACATTCAACCATAAGTCCATAACAAGTAAATAACAGAATTCGAATGCAATTCCAAAAACTACACATGTAATGAACCATCACATGTCAATCATATTGCAGTTTTAAAATAGTCTGTAATTCATAGAACCATGGTAGTGTTGAAGGTTGCAAATCTATTCAAGAATAAGATAATACACTAAAAAGAGTGATGGCACTATAAATCAAATCATGTCTCGAGTGCAAAAACTTAATGCTGTCCATGAGTCCATCTCTGGTTCAGATTGTCACTGATATTGAATACAAAAATCTTATCATCATTTCTGGATTCATATTTATTCATCGTTTGGAATTTTGAATATATGTATCTTTATCATCATCATCTTCATCGCCGTCAGATTAAGATTTATTTGTAGTTTAATATTCATACCATTTATAGCTTCAACCACCCTAGTGTATGACCAACATTTTGAAAGCTGCAAATGATTCTAATGATAGTTGTTTGACATTAATGAACCCAATTTTTTAAACAAAGCGGTTAGAGTTTAATTGAAGAGCAGTAGCACACTCATGAATGATCTTATCACATGAAGTAAAGGAAAATCACTCTCCCATACATATCACACTAAAAATTAGATAGAGAACCACAGCTTCAAGTTTATCTTTTAACAGATCCAGGTGGAGAGATTATAGATCATGTGAAGATTCAGGGGAAACCTAAATGGAAGGGAATTCAGATTATACCAAAAAAACTAAATTATAGAATAAAAACGAAAATATCTGGGCTCTAATATAGATCATATTCCAAATTTCCAATGTCAAACATTCTAAAACAATCGAGGAGGTAAATCGCGTCTAAAAAACTAAACGAACAAGAGATTCACATACATTTACCTTTACACCTCATCCAATTTTTCGATCAACTACTCATTCGTGAAAATTTGAAGATATTATGCAGGACAAGAGATAAGAAGTAAGAACATGCCTGATACCGGTTCCAATATACTGTAGAGCGCAATCACTCATCGCTGGTGCATACATCGATGAATAGAAGGAAACATGAGTGACGTGAGGGGGGAATGCATTTCAAATAGAGAATGCAAAAGACAAGGTGAAGAGATCCTGAAAAGGCTAAGTGAAATGGCTCACAGATTATTTATTTTCTTAGGAATATAAGAAATGTTGACTCCATGTTCGGAGCTAAATAAAGTTGACAAATTATTCTGACCCTCCCATTATTATCAAGTAAATGCAGTTTTCTCATTTAAAACTATATGAGGTTAAGAATAACGATGCAGCTATAAACTATTTTTGGTATAATGAGAAGATAATAAAAGAATGTGTTAGAAATGAAGGATAAATTACAAAAATAGTTGTAATAGTGTATTACTTTAAAAATTATTGAGGGTATAATGAGAAAATTTGATAATGAGAAGATATGAATGTTATTACCCAAAAAATGTGAGAAAATATGAATGTTACAGAGGGAGTAGTAAATATTAATAGAGGTGGTGAATAATTATTCACTGAATTGGTTAATAATAATTTTATGTTGCAAAGAAAATATATTTACTATTGGTAATATTTTGTTGAGAAATGAGAAATGGAACTTAAAAAAATTGATGCATATATAATTTATTATTGTTTTATATATAATTTATTATTGTTTTGGGTTTAGACTTATTATTATTTTTTATTTTCTATTTATGAGTCCTTTAAAAAAATATGAGCACATTAGTTGAAAAATGTTCATAGTATGCAATACATTTTAAGTGTAGTGAAACAAAAGCATTCATGTGTCTGGGATATATGGAACCGGCCCGGCCGGTTCCAAGCCCGGTTCGGGCTTTATTCTTTTTTTTTTTTTAACTTTCCGGATTGGACTGAGTATTTTGGGCCATTTGGGCTGATTTGGGGGTGGGGGTGAGGGGGGGGGGGGTCGGGGTTAATTAGAAAAAGCAATATATATATATATATATATATATATATATACTCCCTCCGGTTCTTTTTAAACTTCAGTGTTTGACTTCACAGTTATTAAGGAAATAAAGTTGACTTTACTGTAGAGTACACTGTTGAGACACTGTTTGACACTGTTGAGACACTGTTTGACACCGTTGAGACACTGTTTGGCACTGTTTAACACTGTTTTGATGTATATTTCTTTGTCAAATAAGGAAATAAGAAAGTATGAAGTTTATTTTGGACGTCCCAAAAAGCAAAGTGTGAAGTTTATTTAGAACCGGAGGAGTATATATATATATATATATATATATATATATATATATATATATATATATATATATATATATATATATATATATATATATATATATATATATATATATATATATATATATATATATATATATATATATATATATATATATATATATATATATGGGTGAGATCCCATGCAAACCAAGCTTCCGGTGCTAACCTACAAACCAACAATAGCCGCTGGATTAAATCATGCGGACGGTTAATGCATGTGAGATGCATTATTGAAACGCTGCACTCAACCATATGAGATAAATACGGATAACACCCTTTAATATCATTTGATCAATTAAGGTGATGTACTGTAGCAACATGCGTTCTTTTATTTAGGAAGGTTTGAGATATAAATCTTTGGTTTTACTCGCACCTCTCATTTAATTAATTAACCATCAATTATTAACATCCCATTTTTGAATGATGAATTCTAAATAAAGAAGAAAGTTATTGCTTCATAATTAACCTTCCATTTTTTAATAATAAAAAGGTAACTTGGAGAGGATTAAATTGCAAAAGTTAATTTATATAATAAAACATAAGAAATATGGTAGGATGGAGAACTATTGATTGCATAAGTGAATAGTTCAACATAAATTAATTGAATCACAACGTATTTACTTGAAGTGCATAATAAGGCTATGTGATATGCATATTAAGGATGGAGAGCTATTGATTGCATCTTATTGTTATGACATTTGAATTTTTAGCTCACATGTTGCATTTTATTATTATGACATGTGCATTTTGGAAGTTCGTATATTGCACTTTAGTAAGATGCATAGCTTATATTAACTTCTAACATATTAAATTTGTAAGAAGTGAACACATGTGAACGTGTCTGCATATTAAAGTTACATGACGTGCATCATAAGATTAATGGATGTGCATATTATGGTTACGAGATATGCATTATATATTTATACTGTCTTCATAACTTATATTAGAACTATATAGTTATAAACATGTCAACGCTGCATTATAGTAGTTCATATCTTGCATTTTATCATTATAACATGTGCATTTTAGAAGTTTGTTTATTGCACTCTATTAGAAAGTTATGTGCACTTTAAAAGTTCATACTGCATCTTAATGCTATGGAATCTGCATTTTAGGAATTCATATGTTGAAATTTATTAGCATTATGACTTGTGCACTTTAGAAGTAGTATATTGAATTTTGTCAGATGAGCTCCCATTTTCACTTTAGAAGTTACTGCATCTTATCACTATGACATTTGCATTCTACAGTCAACTGACATGCATACTAAATTCATGATGTTACATAATGCATAATACATGATCAACATAAGAACATCATGCCTATTCTAGGCAGATTAAGCTAGTAGCACTTAAACATTTTTTTATTTTGTATAAATATGAATTTGATGAATTTCATGAAGGCGAAAATCAAAACGTTAAAATATGATTAATCTCATAAAAAACAAAAAACAAAGATTTTCTAAAGTGCAAAATTTCATGGGGACGAAGGAGTAGGAGATGGAGATCAAATAAATTAAGAAATGAATTCACGAAACTAGGGTTTAATATCGGAATCCATGGTCTAGCCTGTTAATGGTGGTGAAGAAATTACAGCGAAAGCAAATTTGTATGATGAAGAAGAAACAAAATTCTTAGATGAGAATGAACTAAAGCTTCATTGCCGAAGAAAGAAGAAAAGAAAATACAGAGTAACAATGAAGAAGCAGTTATGGAAAGCGACGGCAGTTCTGGAAAGAAAACGTGTTTATTTTCCAAAATTAAAACCAACTAAAAAGACTTAAGGACCCCTCAATTGATTAAGTTAAACAACCGCTCCATTGATATTGAACGCACGCAAGATTCAATGAGATGGATGGCAAGGATTAGGTTTGTAAGTTAGCATGTTAAGATGAGTTTGCATTTGATCTCTACTCTTATATATATATCCCGACACGACCCGGACCCGCTAGCAACCCGGGCCAGTCCCGGGCCTTCCCCAAACCCCAAAATGCCCGACCGGGCCTAGGCCCGGCCCGGGCCCGGCTCCATGCCTAAGCCGAATAGTTAAATCCTGAAGATAGTGTTGATAAAGAACCTGAAGCTACCGCAATAGGCTGTCTAGACTCTAGAGGCCAAAGGAAGGCTGATGCACCACAGGGATGATACCAAGTGAGCACCAAGGATAGGTCCCACATATATTCCCCAGCCGAATGTGAAAGGGAAGGAACCAGACTAGCAACCAGTGAAAATACTTTGGACGAGCAGTCCAAAACATGGTGAACCACTATGGAGAAGGTTTGTGTACTGTAGGTGAGACCCAAGGGCCAAGGAATGAAGGAAGAGGCTTTGTCATCGAAAATCCACCCGTGGAGAAAGAGGAGAGAAATATGTGCTAGGAGGTGGACTCTGAGAGGAGAGGAGGGGGTTCTAGAGAGAACCGAAGTTGATCCCAGATTCCCAGGGGTAGGGAGAGACCGGAGACGCAATGTTTGACAATTGGAGGGAAGAATCAGCTAGGGTTTTTGTTTATTTTGAAAATGTTACTTATGAAGGGTTTGACGCAATGTTTGACTCATGATACCATAATATGGAGCTTACGAGGCTTGTAGCCCTATCAGTTATACTTATATTAGAATGGAAATAATACAACTATAAGCAGCCACTAATGCAGAGTGTGATACTTTAAGCAGCAAAATTGTGCCAAATATTATACCTACACAACCAAGACAATAATGACTATATTTAGTAGCAAAACAATTGACTTTCTTGTCAAGACCGAGCTATGAAATATCCCGATAATGTTGTAAGATGCAGTGGTACAAACCCAATGTAGGAGTCATCACCTTCTACTATTACGTATTTACGTAAGATAAAAAAGAAACTAAGAGGAGTTTTGAACAGACTTTAGGTGCGCTGCCCCATAAATAGATGAATTTGCATCAGTCTTCAAATGAGAAAGAAGATGCTGCACATCTGGGCGTAAGCTTTCGACTGCCCTTCCGCATAGAGCAAGGACTTCAGCTCTAGGTCTGCTGCTTGCTTGAACCGGCCCTCCTTGCCCCTCATAATGGATCACATGATGCCTAAGGAGGGAGAAGAAAAGAGAATGTTAAAGTTCTAGTTAAATCTGAAAATAAGCTCCAGGGACAAGGATTGCTATCTCACAGGAAGTCAATGATATCAGCTATATCTGAAGCCTCAACAGGAGCTGGTGGCTGTGTGCTCCTCCCAAAGACATCCACCAGTACATTTAAAAGCAGTGACAGTGTCTGACACAGAAGATAACCACCAATTAGGGTAGCATAAGATAACAGAACATCATCATCTTTGAATTAAAAAACCAGTTGGTTTGTACAAAGTATGATCACTTTTGATTCTTTTCTATCCTTTCAAGCAGTGGCGTAACCAGAGAATAATTTGAGGGGGTGCTATGATATATATAAATTTTCTTACAAAACAAATTTTATAAAGGAAAAACGAGTGAAAAATAATCATCAAATATATATAGAGTGTGATTCCAATAAAAAGAGTTAGTCACGTCAAAAATGCGAACCGGTGCACTCATTCTGGTGCACTAGTAGATATTGTTTTTGCACTTTTTCACATTGAGAGAAAAAAATGATTAATTTATCAAATTGTCAACGCGTTTTTTATAAAATGTAGTGCATTGTGGATTGATTTTGAGTCATTAGATCTTAAGTTTAATACACTATATTTTTTGTCAATTTTCATGAGAAGAACTCTTTTTATTGAAACTTATATATATATATATATATATATATATATATATATATATATATATATATATATATGTATGTATGTATTAATATATATAGTCCAATTCCTGTCCAGCCGGCCTGACAGGAACCGTCGTCCGGCCGAGGGAATTTCGGACCCTTCCCGGTGGAATTTTTTGATGAAAGTTTTTGAGCATGTTCTTCATCAAGTCTAGTTTATCCATACCAAATTTCAACTAAAAATTCAATCGGGAAGGCAGTCAAATAAATTATTTAAGAACACTGTGCAGTTAATATATATAAACAGCGAAGTGTTTTTCAAAAAATCATTTGGCTGTCTTCCTGATTGAATTTTTAGTTGAAATTTGGTATGTATAAACTAGACTTGATGAAGAACATGCTAAAAAAAATTCATCAAAAATTTCCACCGGGGAGGTCCTGAAATTCCCTCGGCCGGACGGCGGTTCCCGTCAGGCCGGCTGGACATGAAAGTTATGTTATGTTAAATAGCTATGTTATGTTAAAGTATGTTTAGAATTATTTTTGACATCAAATGATAGTCCATATATCATTATCAGAAGAAGGAAGAAATGAAACACTCATTTTTGTTTTGTTATTTCGAAATATTAAAAGTTTTGTTGTAAACGCAATTTTGGGGACATTGACCTAAAAAAGAAAAAAAATGCATATCAATACTTGAAGAAAGAAAAAGTTAAAAATAATTTAAATTGAAAAAATAAGAATGTAAAATTAAAAATATACTCCGTAGAAATTTAAAGAATGAGATTTAAACAACACTCCTATCCTAGATTGATTCAATTGAACAAAATGAATAGTCATATGTTTGAAGTCTAAACATAATAATGGAGTCAAATATAAAGAAAAGTGAGGCATATAAGGAGTAATGAGGAAGCTAAAAAAAAGTAGATCCAGGGGATTTGAACCCGCGACATTCCGCAAGCAGAAATGCTCAGGTTCCTCCCTTCTCTGTCCAGCCGCCGTTTGGGGCGGTTCCCGATGGAATTTTTTGATGAAATTTTTTGATGAAATTTTTTTAGCATGTTTCTCATCAAGTCTAGTTTGTCCATACCAAATTTCAGCTCAAAATTCGATCGGGAAGACACTCAAATCATTTTTTGAAGTTGACTGCGTTTTTATATGTATATTTTTGCACAGTCAACTTCAAAAAATGATTTGAATGCCTTCCCGATCAAATTTTGAGCTAAAATTTGGGTTGAACAAACTAGACTTGATGAGAAACATGCTCAAAAAATTTCATTAAAAAAATCCACCGGGAACCGCCCCAAACGGCGGAGTTCAGACGGTGGCTTCCGTCCCTCCGGCTGGACCTGAGCAGTCCTCATATATATATATATATAGGTTTTGGTTCAAATAATAACATGATCTTAGGAGAGAAATGAGAACGAATTTGGACCGTTAGATTTGCTTTAAGTGAAATTCGATGTGCATTAGATGAAACTATAGTGTGCATTAGGTGAAATTGAAATGTGCAGCACAAAGAATACGATATAGTGACATTTTGTGAAGTTGAATTGTGCATTATGTGAAATCAAAATGTGCAATAGGTGAAACTAAAATGTGCAGAATAAACGGTATGATGTGATGTTATTTTTGTACATTTTATTCCGCACATTTCAGTTTCACCTAATGCACACTTGAGTTTAAATTTTTATTCTGCACATTTCAATATCATCTAATGCACATTTCAGTTTCACCAAATGCACAATTCAGTTCCACATAATACAATCCAACGGTCCAGATTTGTTCTCATTTCTCTCAAGGGAGTCCGTTCATACCGGAACCGCTCCCTATATATATACACTACCGCCACCGGAGAACGGGCGCGGCGGCACAGGCTCCCCCCGTTCCGCCACTGCTTTCAAGCAACTGGCCATGATTAAGCTCAGTCTCTACATAGAAAAAGCATGTAATTGATGGCATGCAATGTGATAGTTTCAGGAAACTCTTCCTTTGGGTTCTCTCCTTTAAGTAAAATACAAATGAATGTGAAGAGTAAGATATAACATAGTTTATTGAACATTGAATATTATACTACCTCCATCCCGGTGGACTTTGCCAAGTGCAAAGTAGGTGAGAAATAAGAATAGTAAAAACTGTGTGGTTGAGATTTGTGCAGAGGAGAGAGAAATGTGCAGAACCACAAATTAGTTGCTTTAACGGGAAAGTGCCAAAGTTTTTTGGGACAACCAAAAAGGAAAACTTGGCAAAATCCAATGGGACGGAGGGAGTAATTCTTAGAACACAGTGAAACTGATTGTCAGATTTAAGAAACAATGCACATGGAGGGCTGATTACATTTGTAGTTCCCAAATTGTGAAGTAATATATGTTAAAACACAACAATGTAACAATGCAACAGACGACTTTATAAAAACTGACTAACCAGATATGTTTCGGATGAAGAGTGCAATTTTATTTGCTTTAGAATAATATACGTAACATTTATTCATGGTTTAAAATCATAAAGAACAATAATTCATTATTATTTGTGATGAGTTTGGACCCATGTGGTGAAAGCTTAATTTGGACGAGTCAAACATTCATAATGAACAGCTAGTCTGGATTGAAGTATTAATAAGCATGCAATAAAATGTGTAGATTATAATGTGAGATGAAAATAAAATGTATAAATATATCAAAGTCAAATCCCTATTTATAAACAAGGATATATAAAATGGGAAAAACTAGGCTAATGCATAATATTCATCACACACCCAATCCGGACTCCGGAGCATATAAATCATATGCACCAAGCTTGTTAAACACTGAAACATATACCCATTACTAGAACAACTTAATTGGGAGCACCTTTGTTTGCAAACCTAATAAGTAATAAATCTACCTTCATCTTTAGGAAACCATACAAAAAAGCAGACAAAAATAAAAATTGAAGAAGAGGAGAATCCACACCTTATTGAAAAGAGGATGAGCATTTGTCAATCGCGGTAGTAAAGGACCCATAATACGAAAGGATATCCTCAGCACAGCCACAGACGTCACAGGTCTCAAATGTTTGATAATGAGATGTGCTCCCTCAAGCCATTCCTGTGGAAGGTTACTGAAGAACGCATGTAGGAGTGCAACAATATTACCTAAAAGGGGAAAAATATCACGTAGAGAACAAATTGGTTGTTTGAACTACACTATTTTTACGCTCTCAAAAGGAAAAAGGTCAGTTATTGGAAATATATTCTTTAAAATTCAGATAAGAATTAAGAAGTTGTTTTTCTTTCTCTTCCATGAAGCTTCACACTCTAAGGCTTCGAAAATCACTTTCACTAAGCTTTATGGTAGAAGTAGAGAAAATCACGGAAAACCTCAAAGGAAGGAAAGAAATTAAAGAATTAATCAAAGGATCATAATGAACTATATTTTCTTAAATGAAAGAATCAAGCAATAAATAATGATTAGCATGATTATTAATTATACTTTACCTTATTTAAACATTGTCATAGGCTTAAATAATTGCTTCCTTTAGCATAGGAAGCATTTAGAGATTTGTAGAATCGAGACACTTTTAGAGTTGGGCAGCCTTAGGCTGTTTAAAAAGCTAGTCTTGCTGGGGGAATACCTTCGGGAATTTCATGCTCTTCTCTTTCTACCTTCCACATGTTTATTTCTTCACTTTTATTTCAGTTTTATAAAATATCGTCTTTCTACATTATTTATCCCCTTACCCCTTCACATTGGTTTGACCTGCCTATTCTTGTCCTATTGTTTTACATTTACTGTGTTTTTTTGGGGAGAATGGCAAAAACATGCCTAGAAAAAATCAGTCAAAATAACAACAGGTTTCAACAATTTTTCCCGCCTGGGGACATAAATGGTACATTGAACTCTATTTGTATCGATACATCATTTTGTAGCATTCCATAGGTGATTCTGATTTATACGAACTCTTTTTGACTCAAAACCCAGTCATTACCTTCAAATACTAAATGATGTGGTTTGATTTCATTCTGGATGCAATGATAACCAAATAAATATGCATTTCACGCAAAAAGGTCTCTATGTTGGATGTTGTACCTCAAGAACAGAATTTGCTAATGTGGAAATCATAATGATTGCTTTCCGAGATTCACTGTTAAAGCCTCCATCACCAACACCAATATCACCACCTCCACCACCACTCGTTCCATTTTTTTACACTGTGACTCCACTTCCTTCACCTACTGTTCTTTCACTGAAATTGGCACCTCCGACACCACATCTTCATCATCGCTTCAAATGTCATTGTTACCGCCCCCATCACCACCACCACCACAACCTCTAGAAGGCAATCTACCACTGTTTCTACCACTTCCACAACAAGCCCAACATTTCTGTATGAAGGAATAGGGACTCAACTAACGCCTACCTTCGGATGTACATTCTGAACATCCTTGAAACTTGGATTTTGTATTGTTATCCACATAAAGGATAACGGAGGAGGTGTTCTGGCAAGCGCGTGATGGCTAACAGAATCACTTAGTCACATGACATGACATAAATCAAAATATGAATATCGCTACAGCTAGATTGTCGCTCGTAAGCGATGTGTCATCCTTCCGTCTGGGGTGGTGTCAAATATGCAAGGGCGCGCTACACTTCATAGGCCTGATGTGGTGATAACCGATAAAAAATGCTAAAGTTACCAGGTCATTGCCCGAAAGCGGCGTTCCACTCAATGCCTGGGGATGGTGTCAAATATGCAAGGGCATGGTGGGGGTCAAGGTGGTGTTAAGAATAGAAGGTAGGGTGCTAGATTGCGCTTTGGGACATGAAATATTGGGTCTCTTACGGGGAGATCATTTGAGGCAGTTGAGATTATAAGGTGGAGGAATATAAGCACTATGTGTGCACACGAAACTAAGTGGGTAAGAAAAAGATACGTGAGACCAATCCCAGAGGGGTGAGATCATGTTCGTTATAAGCGCCTATGCACCAAACTGGGATTGGATGCATCTATCACTCAACAACTCTAAAAAAATCTCAAGGAAGTGATGCGACGAGTGCCAAGGGGCGATCTCAACGGGCATGTGGGCCCAATTCATGATAGTTTTGAGAGTATCTATGGCGGGCATGGTTTTGGCACTAGAATGAAGTGAGAAAGAACATTTTGGATTTTGCTTCGACATATGAGTTGTGTATATGGCTTTGGAGAGAGCAAAGGGGAGGGTGGGTATTCATGTGTAGGAGTTATCTCTTATCATCTTTCCCCACTCATGTTTCTTTTCTTTCTTGTTGTTTTATCCTTTTTATTCTATCATTTTTATGTATGTCCATCTCTTTTTATATTATCTTTTTATCATAGCTTATCTTTCTTTTATTTTTTATTATGATATCATGTATAGGTTTATGTTAGCCGACCCCAAAATCTTTTGGATGTTGTTTATGAGTTGTTTATGAGTTGGCTATAATGAAAGTTTGATTCAAGAAAAGACTATCACCTTGTGGCCTATAGAAGTGTAGCTAATAGTACCCAAATTGACTATTTAGTACGGATTACTTGGAGAACAAACTACACTAATTCTAAGGTTATCTCAGGTGAGTGTGTTGTCACTCAACATAGGATGTTTGTGCTTGATTTCAAGGAAGACAAGTTAAGCAACAAGTGAAGTCCAAGATAAAGTGGTGGAAGCTCGAAGGGATCTCCAACAAAGCTTTGCACACAAAACGTTAGAGGAAGATGTATGGTGTATTGACAATGACGCATATGTGAGTGATGTGCGGTTATTAATGGAGTTGGTCATTAACAAAGCGACGAAGGAAATACTTAGAAAATCTAAACAATGTCTGCTACCAAAAAAGGACACATCTTGGTGGAATAATGAGGTGTAACAATCCATAAAGAACAAAAAGAAATGCTACAAAAAGTTGGGCATAAGTTGGTGTGTTGAAAACCAAAGAAAAGCAAAGAAAGCCGTAAAGGAAGCAAGAGGGAAGTGAACAAGGAGGCTAAAAGAAAAGCAAGGAAAGTCATAAAGCAAGCAAAAGGGGAAGTGAATAATGAGTTATATGTAAAATTGGACTCCAAGGAAGGAGAAAAATATATTTACAGATTTGCTAATCATCATGATCATAAGATTCGAGATATCGGAAAAGTTAAGTGTGAAAGATGTCGATCAAAGGATACTAATGGAGGGCGGGAAAATAAAAAGAGAGGTGGAGGTGATACTTTGATACCTTGTTCAACGGGAATAAAATGCAAGGTATTGATAATCTTACTATACCAGATTGTATGGTAAATCATGATTTTGTGAGAAGGATTCAAATGACTGAAGTTAAAGAGGTTCTGAGAAACATGGGACGGAAGAAAGTAGTGTGTCTAGATGGCATACCGATCGAGGCTTGAAGAAACACATTTCTTGAACATGATTTGGAGAAACAACAAAATGGAAATGAATTAGCAGAAGAGTATTATTAGTATTGATTAATGAAACACAATTGATTGTAAAAGCAAAGTTGGAAGTATGAAGACAAATATTAGAGATCAAGGATTTCACACTGAGTCGAAGCCAAACTGAGCATATGGAATGTAAGTTTGGTGGAGGTAGAAGTAGTTGTTACACTGAGATTACCCCTGATGGCAAGGAGATACTGGTCTGTGATATGTTCCGTTACTTATACTCCATAATTTAAAAGGATGGTGAACTCGATGAAGATGTATTCCATAAAATCATAGCAGGGTGGATGAAATGAAAGATTGCGTTATGATTTCTATGTGATCAAGATATGCCGAATAGACTAAAAGGTAAAATTTATCATATAACAATTAGGTCCGCATTACTGTACAACATAGGTACGTAGAGTGTTGGACGGTGAAACAATGTCACATCCAAAAGACGAGTGTGGCAAAGATGTGCATATTGTGTTGGATGTGCGGACATACGAGTAGAGATCATTGAGGAATGAGATAAATCGACAAAAGGTGAGAGTAAGATGCAGGAGTCTTGATTATGGTGATTTGGTCATGTGCATCGAAGACGAATTGAGAGGAGGTGAGAAGAGGCGTGGAGGAAAGGGAGGGGAAGACTCAAACATACCTGGATTAGAGGAATCGGGAGTGATATGCTTCTTCTTGGGTTGGATGGGAGTATGACTTTGGAGAGAATGAAGTGGAAGACAAATATTTGTGCAGAGGATTGATCTCTTCTCTCTTTTTTCCTCTCTTTTTTCTCTCTCTTTTCTCTTATCTTTTTATCTTCTTTATCTTTCTTATGTTGTTTATCCCTTTAGAATTTTTGTTTTATATATGTTCTTTTTATCCTTTGTATCTTATCATTTTTATCTTTATCTTATATTTATGTATCTTTATGTTATCCTTTTTATCTTACTTTATCTGTTTATCTTTCTTATATTTCTTTTCTTTTTGGCTCCGATATCCGATTCAAGTTAGCCGACCTTAGAATCTTTTGGGATTAAGGCTTGGAAGTTGTTGATTGATATCTAAACTTTTGTGGCAATCAATGACCTCCAGCCTTGGGGACAAGATTATTTTGGAGTCGCTGGCAATAGCAGAGGTAGAGAAAATCAAGGAAACCCTCCACAGAAGGGAAGAAATCAAAGAACCAATCAAGGCAAACCAGAGAATCAATCAAAGCATCATAATGAATCATTTTTTTAAAATGAAAGATTCTAGCAATAGATCATGATTAGCATGATATAAGGAATAATTGATTATTAATTATATTTTACCTGATTTAAATATTGTCATAGGTTATAAATATGGCTTCCTTTAGCTTAGGAGGCATTGAGAGATTTGAATCAGGACTCTAGAGTTGGGCAGCCTTAGGCTGTTTGGCAAGCTAGACTTGTTGGGGAATACTTCAGGTATTTCATGTTCTTTTCTTTCTACCTTCAACACGTTTCTTTCTTCATTTTAGTTTTATAAAATATTGTCTTTCTTTCCCCCTTACGTTTTACTCCCTATCACTCTAGATAAGCAAGACACGCAAAGTCTTGGGACTTAAAGTATGAATGATGAAAAGCCTATGTCGAACCTGTAAACAAGTACATGGACTGTTAACAAGTACATGGCAAACAAAAACAAATGCATGAAGAGTAAACAAGTACATGAAATAATTTCCCACATGAGCTATCATTGAGTATACCTGGGAAATGCAGTTAATTTTTCTTTTAACAGATACGAGTTCATCTGAAATATAATTCATTCTTCTACAAACTTTAAAGTCCACATACCATAATGCCGTTTCAAATTCTGATTATAGACATGCTCATATCTATTTAACATTAACATGTATAAAATGACAAAAGCAAATTTATACAAACTTCACAGCATGGAAGGGGAAGAAAAGGGTCCATAATTGAGAAGCGATAGTAAACCAAGTATCATAGTGTTAATCAATATAGGGTTCACAAGGCCACATACCAATGGTTGTTGAAGTATTATCCTGGGCAGCCCATGTGGGATCTAAAAGTGCATAGCTAAGAGCAGATTCTAGTTCACCAACAGACCTTTGTCCATCAGTGAGCCACCAACTCTCTTTTATCACACGTGCAGCCTCTAAATATAGTTGCACATGAAACTCTGGAGGGAGTTGAGCTAAAAGAAGACCACATGCTTGGATCAACAAGCACGATAACTGCTGGCATGTATAACCAGTTCGCCACACAAAAACAGAAGCATTTGAACCAGGAACAGAAGAGGCTGCCCTGGTAGCACCAAGTGAATCAGTGCTCCCTCCAGAGGGAGAAGTAGGCAAAATTGAGCACTGTCCAACATTGCTAGGAGTTCCATGTAGGCCATTGCTTGATTGAACAAGTGTTGGTTGTATATGAAGAACAATTTGAACGAGTGAAGAAACAATTTGGGATGCAGAAACAGGAAAAGAGAGTATCTCAACTACGGCTGTTTCAAGCACCAGTTGGGTGTACGTCCCAGGGTCTTGAAGTTGGTAAAAAGGTTTCTGGCCTTCACAAGTATTTGTTAATCCAGGTTGAGAACTTAAATGTACCTTGGTAGGTGGAGCACGGCCAAAGCTGCTTGAGACATCTCCCGCTTGTGGAGATCTGGATGAGCTAATTAGAGGAGGAATAACATGATTTACCAAACCCAATAAAAGGGTGGCAAAGTAATCCAATGGAGGGCACATTGATGCATTAGTTGAGTTAATGTGCTGAAGAAATGGCTCAGAAAAAGGAACCTGAGAGGAAGTGTAATCCGAACAATCACAGATGTGACAACGAAGCTAGCAAAGAATGACCCAAAACGATCACAGAATTCATTATTACCTTTTTACCCAACACATTTAATATACGAAGTATTAGCTTCCCAGGAAGATGGCCGTAAAAATATGCAAGAATATCGCGAACAAATGTAAAATTTAGAGGATAGTAATGGAGAAAGGAAGCATAAATTTGCAGGACTCTATCAGCTGCATCCATAGCATCATTTTCAATAAATCTATAGATGATTAGGGGGATGACTGGAAGCAAGCGTGCCGCAATGTCATCAAAGAATGTTGGATACCTGACAGCATAAAATAAGCAAGTGCTCAAGGATTACATACTTATATGGTCAAAATAAGCATCAAACAATCAAACAAACACATCATAACCATTCGTAAACACAAATTAGGAAACACATTCGTCTGTAAATAAAGTAAATAAATAAATAATACAAGAAATATCACAACTCTATCCACACGCATTGGAAAACACATATATTCACACAACGTGTATGACTCTAATATGTAACAATAACATATTGTTTACTATAAGCGTGAATAAAATGGAGGATCTATTTTTAAAAAGCATGTCTTAGTCTCATGACAATACCTCTCCTTCCAAGAGAGATGACTTCCAAGAGCTTTCTGCAAGTCAGCACGCTTGAAAGGTACAGTTTGTGCCCAATTCTCTGGTGGACCGCGATTTACAAGGTACAGTTTCACTTTTTGTTGAAGCTCCTTAGAATCAAGTAAATTAATCTGTTTGGAATTTAAAGTTGCAGACACATGTCAGCTCAATATTAAGTGTAAGTAAAAACTTATACTACGGGGTGTTTTAGATTATCTACAAGGTGAAAACTGAAAAACAATCTTAAAAAAAGGGAAAAGACAAATTAAAGGCTGCCACTTATTGCCGTCATGTCAACAGGGCTTTTTCCCATGAACAATAATGTGGTATTGTAATATTGTTTGTTAAGAATGTAGTCATGTACAAGGAATGTATACATATACATATACATATGTGTGTGTGCAAGTACATAATAAGACACGTCCCACACTCCCGCCCAAGCTAGAGCATATAAATCATTTGTCCTGAGCTTGTTAAACGGTATTCTATTTTAGAAGCTCTTTGTGGCTTGTTAAAATATGAACCAATCAACAAAATTAATGTTTTTAATAGTAATGCATCTACTTATGATCTTCCCCAAACGCCGGGTTACAAAATGTGAAGATAGAGAAGAGTTTTGTGATTACGTTGATGGATGTTGATGATATCTTACAACCTATTTATAGGAAAAGTAAATGGACAAACTAGACATTACACACTATTATAATATTCAACACTCCCTATCAAGCTGAAGCTTACTAAAGGTTCTAAGCTTGTTACAGTGAAATATTGGTAATGTGAAATAGCATAAATTGACTGTTCATTCTCAATGATAAAGATCCAAGATTGGGAAAAAAGGCGACACCACATCTGAAACCTTTGGTTGGAACTTGCAAACCGCAGCAATACAGGGCGCTTGAGGGAAATCTTGGAATCTGGGCCAAAGGCTTCGATCATAGAGAATAGAAGTAGCTCAAACAGCCACATGTACTAAAAAAAAGAGGATTTTAGGAAAAGTGGGAGCGGTCAGAGTGGATCAATTCCCACACTTGAGATCCTCCACATGTAGTAGGTCATGGATTCAAGTCACCAAGTTAATTAGGGAGGCTCTTCAAAAATGTTGATCCTCTAGCCCCCCCTGGCTAGCTTGAGTGGTCGCATAATCTGTCCTATATATCCCCTCAAGCTAGGAACTGACAGTGTTTGACCAATCGGTGGCGGTTTTCCTTGGAGCTGTGCTAGGAACCTAAGGAGACACGAGATCAATCAGTTAAGACAGGTTTCTTGTGTACGGTGGTGTATAGATAGGTGTTGGGAACCTAGTGGGTTGTTCGAGCGACTAAAATTTACTTCTCTGAAGGATTTGGGGTGGGTTCTGGGAAGCACAGTATTAGTCTAACGAAATGAAGCCGAGATCACATGGTTTAACAAAAAAAGATTATTTTGGAGGGAAAGTTGCAGCAAAAGTTCACCTAAAACTAAGATGGCAGACAGTGACATTATATGTGACCCAAAACATAAATCAATCAATCAGTCATCATTTATGTGACCCAAAACATAAAAGTATAAAATTAGCACAATATGGAAATGCCTTGTATTGGGAAGATTGCCCGTAAAGTTTACTGGAGACGGCAGTCAGCAGCAGCTGGCGGTGGCTGAGTAGCCGATCACATGGCCAAAATTTACTGGAGACCACTTGTGGAGAGGAGTATACATGACCAGAATTGCCTTTAGTAAATAAAGAGATACTCTCCAACTCTTCAGGAGAGAGCCCAACAACAACAACAATATCCAAGCCTTAATCTCAAAAAGATTTTGGTGTCAGCTAACATGAATCAATGCATGATATCAGAGCCAAAAAGGGAAGAAAGATAAGAAAAATAAAAAGAGAAGAAAGATAAGAAAAATAAAAAGAGAAGAAAGATAAGAAAAAAAAAAGATAAAAATAACATAAGAACACAAGATAAATAAAAGATAAAAGAGATAAAAGAAGAGAAGAGATCAATCGTCCACATGTATATGCACCCTCCACTTTGCTCTCTCCAAAGCCATACTCTCATCCAACCCAAGAAGAAGCATATCAGTTATGATTCCTCTAATCCAAGTTTGTTTGGGTCTTCCCCTCCCCCTCCTACCTGACTCTTCTCTCCACCTCTCAACTCGTCTTACAGGTGCATCACTCGGTCTTCTACGCACATGACCAAACCACCGCAATCGAGACTCTTGCATCTTATCTTCAATACGTGCTACTCCAACCTTTTATCTAACAGAAAATTCACTAAATAGGACTAAAACATGAATAAAGTTCATAAATAGGACTATCAATGTTTTATTCCCAAAATAGGACTCATTCACTCCTATTTTGGGAAGTTTTAATCAAATTATTCTTTTATTAGGACCAAATAAGTCCTATTTAGGGAATAAGAATACTTAGTCTTATTTTTGAATTTTGTGTATGTTTTAGTCCTATATTGAGCATTTTCTATTTATCTAATTATCTCATTCCTCAAGCGGTCTCTTCTAATATGTCCACACATCCAACGTAACATACGCATCTCTGCCACACTCATATTTTGAATGTGACATTATTTCACCGTCCAACACTCTACGCCATACATTAGTGCAGGTCCAACTGTCGCCTGATAAAATTTACCCTTCAGTCTAATCGGCATACCTCGATGGCTCGATCACATAGAAATTCTGATGCACTCTTCCACTTCATCCACTCTGCTCTGATTCTATGAGATACATCTCCATCTAATTCATCATCTTTCTGAATTATAGAGCCCAAGTAACGGAACATATCACACACCTGTATTTCCTTGCCATCAAGGGTAATCCCGCTGTTATTACTATTTCTGCCTCCACCAAAATTGCAGTCCATATACCCAGTCTTCGGGAGAGAGCCCATTCAAATTATATTCTTTTTTTAATCTCTCTTTCACATTATCAAGCTATGATGCTTCACATCAACATTCCCGTCTATCTGGTCTTATGTTGGAAATACAACATATCTCCAATCTTACAAGTGTAAATGTTTGCATATATGTTCGTCCATGAGCATATAAAACTGACCATAGGTCTCTCAAGGGTGCTTGTAAGATATGCTCATTCTATAGTGAGCCTATCTATTCAAAAATGCTACAGTGCTGAGGATGTTATTTACCTATATTGTCACACAATATTCTAATGTGGCATTTACCTACTCCTGGCAGCCTAAGCTTGTTGATGCTCATACTATTGTCCCTCTAACTCCTATAATGTCGTCAACTGATCTAACTCTTGACCTTCCCTTGATATATGTAAATTGTAAAGGTACATGTGGGTTTGTAGATCCTATAGCATGTTGTGTTTCTTATTCTCATTTTCTGCCTCATCTTGTGCATTTGGCTCTTGGTTAGACTTTTCTGTTCCTAAAAACTTATCACATGCATTATTTCATGAAAAAGGTGATCTGCAATAGGGGAGATTATCATGGTTGAGGAGATGATAAGTGGTTTTTTCTCAAGACAAATCCAGCAGGGTTTATGGCCAGGTCGCAAACTTGATGTTCAGACTTTGCTGTGAAACATTCAAAACATTCGTTCCGACTCAATTTCACAGGTACTTTTCATTCAAGGAAAGGTACTTTTCTCTCATTGTTGCAGCTTGCAAAGTTGCAAGTGAGCAGCAGTTAGCCAGTTTTTCTACTAGCCAAGTGATATAGATGTTTTTTTAGAAAGCGTTTTTGCTAATTAATAAATTTGGGAGGCTCATGCATCAGTTGACTGGAACCTGCGCTTCTTATAGTCAATATAATTAAGAGCTGTACCAGGGAAAAGAATCATGTATGAGGATCATAGACAAAAATATTGAAGCACTCTCTGATGCTTGGACTAATGTATAATATCCAAGATTAGCTTAAAAGAATTAATATTACTACTCATACCAACAATTACAAGAGTTATATGAATGCTAGTGGACGAACATAAGAACTGTGGCCTAATGTGTAAGACCACACCAGTTGCATTCTTCTGAAGCTTTCCCACAAATGCATCCATATAACTCTTGTAATCCACAACCATAACATTGTGAGACTAATGGTTTTAAAAGAATCTATATGGCCCCAGCAAAGCATGAATGCATGACATGAACTAGCATTTTTCAGGAAACAAATGGCATGCGTAGAAAGAGGTAATTAAACATAGATAGGTAAAATGTATATACACGACAAAGAACACATACCACAATGCGCAAAGCATGTGGATCATCATCACGATCAATAAGTGCAAGCAACAAGATGTCCAAAGGAAGCAGCTCATGGGTCCAGATAAAATATGAAAGATTGGAAACTGTTTTTACCATTAGATCCTGCGAGAAGTACAAAAGTAATGAGTGAAACACGTCATGTCAGTTTTACCGTGTGTGTATCAAGGACAAAAGTGATAGTTAAGCATGAAAAGGACAAATCTTGTATATATATATATAGGGGGTGGTTCAAATGAGAACACTCCTTATTGTGAACAGTAACCATTTAGTCAGAAAAGAACAAAAGAACAGTAACCTGCAAAGGATGTCCTCGCTGTAGTTCCAAATGAATATGATGAAGCAGAACATCAACCATCGTGTATATATTGAGGGTAACCTCTTCAGGAGAAAACTCTCTCAATGCACGTCCCTAAAGCAATTGAGGATGAGAGTAGCGTTTTAAAATAATTGAGAGTAGAAGACTTCTGCAACACAACCGAGGTAGCAGAAGTATAAAAAACAAGAATTATTACCAGGTTCCCGCTGTTGATATTCTCAGGATGCCCATGCATTAGTATCCATGCACCAGCACAAAGATATTGACGGTGCATAGGAAAACTGTGATTAAGGTATGTAACAACATATGTTGGATCAGCTGATGTTGAAAGTAGCTGGGTGCATTGATGAATTACAGTTGTTTCGGACTGCCAGTAAAACATTATGATTTATTGAGCAAATACATAATATCTGTAACTTTATGGAAGAAGGAAGAAAGAGTTTATTGATTTTTTTAGAGGAGCAAGTGTGCACGCACAGGAAATATGACATGTGGGCATACCCTGTAGTGTACGGCTAGAAAATTGGATATTGATTGTGAAAGTATATTAGAATATACTTTAGAATATGCTTTAGAATATATTAGGAATATACCATACATAGTATTATTGTATAGCATCTTTTATAGGAATATGCTATCTTTGTAATCTATATTTATAGGGCCTTACCCTTCAATGAAATATACAGAAAATCTTTCCTCCTATCTTCAATATTATATTTTGTAGTTTATATTTCAACATGGTATCAGAGCCTTCCATTTTAGTTTTTAAGATTTCATATTAATTTCCAGACTGGATTCTGGATTCTTTCTTCAAGAACCTGAGTTCAGTCTTCAGATTATTCAGAACCTTCAGTTCTTCAAACACCAGTCTGTTTCCAAATTTAGGGATTTCAGTTTTCAGATTCTTCAGTTACTTGAGTTTAGTTTTTCAGATTCTTCAGAACCTCTAGGCACCATTCTAATTTCCCAGAAAATCAATTAGCCCAAGCTAATTTCCCAGAAAATTCCATCGCATACAGTCTGCCCACCAGACCTCAGAAATTTTCAGACCACAAATTTCATCACCACCATACCCAGGTGGTGCGGCTACATCCGACGACCGAGAAACCAAAGTACGCAGGCCCAGATCATCGCGCGTGAGTTACACGCGCCGTCAGAAACTTCCGCAGCAACGCACGCGCCGGCGCGTGACGCCGTGTTTCTGGCCGGAGATTTGATCGGAACTCTTCGCCCGAGACTCGCCTGTAAATTCTCTACCAGGTATACTTTACTTCTCTCGTTCTTTCTTCAGCAAGGGACGGGTGTGGTTACCTGGTTGGTCGCTGGGGTCCGACATCAGGCATATGCTCCGTCTGTGACTTTCGCTCCTTCCCTTCCTCTGGTTGTTCGCATCAACTGGGTCTCACATAGGATATTTGTGAACGACCAAAGGCTTCTTCACTGATGGTATTAGACCGACACATCTTTAGCCCATTTGTGAAATTAAGTCTGGGTTCACCTCCCAACCTGGGTATTTTACTGTCCAAGTTTTAAGTCCACAAACGGGAAAGCTGCTATAAGATTTCACAATATTTCAATTTTTTTAATTGCCGTCTCATTAAAAAAAAATCGAAAAAAAAAAAAACATGTTTTGTACGAGTGGATTTGATAGAAGAGTACTATGCAATTACTGTAAGAAGCCGGGGCACTTGATCAAAGAATGTAGAAAATTGCTGTTCAAAAATCAAGGAAATCAGTTTGCCCGTGTCGCTTCCGCTACCAGTTCATCTGATGGATCAGTTGTTATTTCTTCAGAGGAGTATGCCAAATTTATTTGCTACCAAGAATCTCTAAAGCATTCATTTGTCCCTATCTCGGTAGCCGCGAATTCAGGTATTTCAAACACATGTCTTGTTTCATCATCCTCGAAATGGGTCATTGACTCAGGTGCCACAGATCATATGACCGGTAATCCTAATCTATTCTCGTCATTTCATTCGTATTTACCTACTTCTAGTGTCACTTTAGCTGATGGATCTACCTCACCCGTTCTTGGATCTGGTACTGTTGTTCCAACTTCTACATTACCATTATCTCCTGTTTTGAGTCTTCCTAATTTTGCATTTAATCTGCTTTCCATCAGTAAAATCACTCGTACTCTTAATTGTTCTGTAACATTTTTTCCTGGATACTGTGTGTTTCAGGATCTGTTAACGAAGCAGATTATTGGTAAAGGACATGAGTCAGCTGGTCTTTATATTTTGGATACATCCATCACAAAAGGTATCTCTTGTCTTGGGGTTGGGACTTTGTTAGATGCTCATTACCGATTAGGACATCCATCTCTCCCATTAATGAAACAAATAAATCCCCAATTTAATAAGATGACCTCTTTACAATGTGAGTCATGTCAATTTGCGAAACACCATCGTACTAGCTTAAGCCCGCGAGTTAATAAACGAGCAAATGCTCCATTTGACCTTGTTCACTCTGATGTTTGGGGTGCTTGTCCGGTTGTGTCTAAAGCTGGTTTTAAATATTTTGTTACCTTTGTTGATGACTATTCTCGTATGACATGGTTGTATTTCATGAAACGTCGATCTGAGTTGTTCACTCATTTTTCTTCCTTTTGTGCTGAAATTAAAACTCAGTTCAACGTTCCTGTTCGGGTGTTAAGAGGAGACAATGCCCAAGAATATCTATCTGCTACATTTAAGTCATTTATGCTTCAACATGGCATTATTCATCAAACTTCATGCGTTGACACACCTCAAAATGGAGTTGCAGAACGAAAGAACCGACATCTGTTAGAAACTGCAAGGGCTCTTCTATTCCAAATGAATGTGCCTAAACAGTTTTGGGCAGATGCCGTGTCTACTGCATGTTTTTTGATAAATCGAATGCCATCTTCTGTTTTGAATGGTAAAGCTCCTTATCATTGTCTATTTCCAAACAAAGAGCTTTTTCCTATCCCACCTAAAATATTTGGTTGCACTTGTTTTGTTAGAGATGTTAATCCTCATCTTACAAAGTTAGATCCCAAATCATTAAAATGTATTTTCTTGGGTTATTCTCGAGTCCAAAAGGGGTATAGATGTTTTTGTCCGAGTACTGGTCGGTATCTTGTTTCTATTGATGCATCATTTCATGAAAATACACCTTTTTCATCATCTAAGGCAGATATTCATGAGAGTAATGATGATATACTCATTTACACGATGACTATTCCTGAGTCCACACTTTCTACAAATATTCCACAAGTTACTGTTCCTGACCCTAGGCCTCCCGTACATTTGGTATACACCCGTCGACACAAAGCACCTGATCACCCTCCACCGGCGATACCTGTGATTACTTATCCTGATACTAGTTCGACTCCGATCTCATGTCCTGAACCAGTACCTGCATCTTCAGATCTTGTCTCCACATCAGATCTTGACCTCCCAATAGCACTACGTAAAGGTACACGGTCTTGTACTCATCCTATTTCTTCATTTGTGTCATACAATCAGTTATCTCCTGCTTCATGTTCTTTTATTGCTTCCATTGATTCTATTTCTGTTCCCAAATCTGTCACAGAAGCTTTGTCTCATTTTGAATGACGTCATGCCATGGTAGAGGAAATGAATGCTTTAGATCTTAATGGTACTTGGGATTTGGTTGACTTGCCTACAGGGAAGAAATCTATTGGATGTAAGTGGGTCTTTGCTGCTAAGGTTAACCCAGACGGATCTGTTGCTCGGTTGAAAGCCCGATTAGTTGCGAAGGGTTATGCTCAAACCTATGGTGTTGATTATTCTGACACTTTTTCTCCTGTTGCTAAATTAACATCTGTCAGGTTACTTATTTCACTCGCTGCAACTCATGATTGGCACTTACATCAGTTGGACATTAAAAATGCATTTTTGCATGGTGACCTTAAGGAAGAAGTCTATATTGAGCAACCTCCGGGATTTGTTGCTCAGGGGGAGTATGGTAAAGTTTGTCGACTTCGCAAATCTCTTTATGGTCTGAAACAGAGTCCTCGTGCATGGTTTGGAAAATTCAGTCAATCAATTGAACAATTTGGAATGATAAAAGGCAAATCAGATCACTCTGTCTTTTACAAACAAACAGAATCAGGTGTCACATTGCTTGTGTTGTATGTTGATGATATTGTGATTACAGGGAGTGATAATGCAGGTATTTTGGCCCTTAAGAACTTTCTGCATAGTCAATTCCAGACGAAAGATCTTGGCTCTTTGAAATACTTTCTGGGAATTGAGGTAACACGAAGTAAGAAAGGCATATTTCTATCTCAACGTAAATATGTACTTGACTTACTAGCTGAGACAGGGAAATTAGGGGCAAAACCAAGTACAACACCCATGGTTCCCAACGTGCAACTCACACAAGAAGGCACACCGTTTGAAAACCCAGAAAGATATAGAAGACTGGTTGGGAAGCTTAATTATCTCGCAGTCACTCGTCCAGATATTGCCTATTCTGTGAGTGTAGTGAGTCAATACATGTCATCTCCAACCATTGATCATTGGGCTGCAGTAGAACACATATTATGTTACTTAAAGGGTGCACCAGGACGAGGTATTGAGAATAGAATGTTTTGCAGATGCTGATTGGGCCGGTTCTAAAGATGATCGAAGATCTCCATCTGGTTATTGTGTCTTTGTTGGTGGTAATCTTGTATCTTGGAAGAGTAAGAAGCAGAATGTGGTTTCTCGTTCGAGTGCCGAATCAGAATATCGAGCTATGGCACAATCTGCATGTGAGATCATATGGATAAGCCATTTATTGACCGAGCTAGGATTGAAGACATCAATGCCTGCTAAATTGTGGTGTGATAACCAGGCTGCTATACACATAGCAAACAATCCCGTATTTCATGAGAGAACAAAGCATATTGAGGTCGATTGTCATTTTATTCGAGAGAAGATACAAAAAGGATTGATCTCCACAGGATATGTGAAGACTGGGGAACAACTTGGAGATTTGTTCACTAAAGCACTAAATGGAATTCGAGTTGGTTATTTATGTAACAAGTCGGGCATGATAAATATCTATGCTCCAACTTGAGGGGGAGTGTGAAAGTATATTAGAATATACTTTAGAATATGCTTTAGAATATATTAGGAATATACCATACATAGTATTATTGTATAGCATCTTTTATAGGAATATTCTATCTTTGTAATCTATATTTATAGGGCCTTACCCTTCAATGAAATATACAGAAAATCTTTCCTCCTATCTTCAATATTATATTTTGTAGTTTATATTTCAACATTGATCAAGTCCGACTTGATACAAACTTAATGATATAACTTTCAAATTAGACACACCCCTCATCATCTACTCTTCAAATATAACTTCCTTCATAAGATTATCCATCCAAAGAGATGTATTTGACATTTTATTGCATCGAACTAAAAGCATATATACATGACGTATAACAGTCATGATATCACCAAGAAAGAAAGAAATCTTCAGAAGACATGCACAAAGACATGGGATATATGTACATGTTGCCATGCTTGAATAGCAAGTGTTCTTTTATCCATTTGGCCACTCCTATCCATTCGGTCATTCAATGCATCACGTAAGATAGATGGGAAGTATCTAAGTGTTTTCTCCGACCAAGACTGCTGACTAGTTGACAATATTTGTTCCAACATTGTTTGTAGATAGAGTAGGTGCTCAAAATCTGCAATTCCACGAGTTTTAATAATGACTGCAAGAGTTGTAACGGTTATGCGATTCAAAGTCTCAGTGAAGTCTGTTGGACCCTGCAATAGATTTTGAATGTAAGAAAACTTATGTCTCACTGTAAAACAGAGTCAGCATAAAACATACTTACGTACCTTGCCTTCTCTCTTCACAAAGAAAAAATCTCTCATTGATAAAATAAGATTCATGCACAGATTTTCAGCTAATCTGAAAATTCGATGATCACCACGTTTTCCCTTTAATGTAGATATCATTTTGGTGACATCATACATTAATGTCTTGCTTTTCCCTTGGTATCTGGAGACGACACGAGCAACACTCATCAGCATATATAAAAACATATAATTGCAAAATGAAAACATAGACCCATCCTTAGCAACATCATATTATCCTTACAAAAAAGTCTCCTTGGCACCTGCCAATAAATTTTTAGGAAAATAATATTCTAGGTGTGCACAATGTGTGGTAAAAGATATACATAAAATATCCTTCTGAGAGGGTTGGTCATGTGGTAACCCCATGGTACCCATTAATGACATCTTTTTCTTTACTCAAGAAAATGATAAGCTAGGTGAACCAAGAAGATGAACGTTGTCAGCAGTAACCGTTCATTAAACACAAGGCTAATGGAACAGCGAGATTTGATATGATTCTAAATGATATCGTTCCTGATTTTAGCATTTATTGTACAGATTGTATCAAATCAGAAGTTAGTAATTGATAGATGTACATATGATTCTTTCCTTGTAATTTTGAACCTTATAAATAAAGATCAACTGAGAGTAGTTTCTCTCAGGCAAATTCATTCAAATCAGTAAATTCAAGTTGGTATCAAAGCCTCATCCTCACTTGCCCTAGTCGTCCCTGCAGCCAATCTTCATCGAGACGGGTCTGCTCGCACTAGGGATAAAAGTCCTAGTCATTCCAGATTGTGCCCAAGTCAGTGTACGTCATGTCGACCCCTGACTCTTCCTGGAGTCTTGTGTCCATTGTCTTCTATGGGAATCCCCAAATAACTTCTCAAAAACTTAACGGCAGAAACTACATGGATTGGCAAGTTTCTGTTGAAATGTGGTTCTTGGGCCAAGGTTTGTCTAAACATTTGACCAAAAGAGCTGATGAGATAAGTGCATCTGAAAGGGAAAAATGGACTCAAGCAGATCATCAGTTGGTTGCTATTTTGTGGCAGTCCATTGATCCCAAACTGTTGATCCACTTCCGCACATACGAGAGTACGAGACGTGATATGACATTTGGAAGAAAGCTAGAAGTGTGTTTGCGAATGATGTCCAACAGATTTATGACGTTGTTCATAGCCTTGTGATAGGAATCCACTTATTAGACTAATAATAGAAGTAATAATAATAATAAGTAATAAAGGTCTGGGAAGATTCTAGTATAAATAGACATGAAGGGGAGTTAGCAGTAGGCTTTTTGGACGTATAGTCTGGGAAGATTGATAGGAACCCACTTATTAGACTAATAATAGAAGTAATAATAATAATAATAATAATAATAATAATAATAATAATAATAATAATAATAATAATAATAATAATAAGTAATAAAGGTCTGGGAAGATTCTAGTATAAATAGACATGAAGGGGAGTTAGCAGTAGGCTTTTGGACGATTAGTCTTGGGACTGGGAAAGATCTCTATCTTTTGGGGCTTCTGGGAAAGATCTCTAAACATCTCTATCTTTTGGGGCTTCGGCTTTGGGGGCTTCGGCCAGTGTCTTCTCCTGTAATTGATCACTTTCATCAATAAATTTTCAGTTGATTTCTTGTTAATTTTCTGTAATTGTTCTGGAATTCTGGAGGTTCCTATCATTGGTATCAGAGAAACGTCCTTTCCTGGAGACTGAGAATCTGAATCATCGAAATAATGGAGGAATTTGAGATGACACCACGAATGGAAGAAAGATTTAATAATATAGACCGAATGATGAAGGAGATACAATCTAGTATGGCCGCGTCGCAAGAAAAGATGAAAACGATGATGGTCGCTATGCAAGAGATGATGCAAGCTAGCATCGCCTATTTGCAGAACATCTTTCCAGGTCCTTCGAAGAGTCGATCGCATAAGTCGCGCCACTCGCACCACTCACATCATCGTCACACGCGAAAGTCAACAAGTCCAGAGGAATCAGAAGAGCAGAAGCATCACAGAAAATATGGCGACCGAAAGAGGAACAGTAAGCTTCATCCGCTATCGCAGGCAGATTCACAAAATGTCTCTTCGCACAGTTCTTGGCATCGCTCTTCGCATAGCTCTTCACATCGCTCACCTGCATCGCATCGCACTTCTCACCATCATCAGTCGCGACATTCAGTGAGTTATGGAGAATCGCGATCTGTCTTACCAGTTCTGCCGCTACCTGACAAACGAGGTTCGTCGCCATCGCTTACCAGTTCGCAGACTGAATCGCGATCTGTTTCTTTTAGTTCGCAATCGCGGATTTCTTCTTACCCTTCGCAGACTTACTTACCTGCGATTAATTCACGTCCAAGAAAGACACGAGTGAGAGAAGAATCTTCGTCGCTGAACTATTATTTCAGTTCACATGCTTCTTCACTTGCGGACTATCACCGCTCGTCAGCACACAGATCCTCATCGCTTGTGGTTCCACACCATTCGCAAGGGTCATCAGCTTCAAGAACTTTTGACATAAGCGCATCAGAAAAAGAATTCCAGGGGACCCCACCAACAAGAATGAACACAGAATTAAACATGGTTGTCCCTTCAGTTACGGAATCAAACTTTGAAGAGGAGGTTAATCAATCTATGAGATTTTCATCAGACAATAAGGAAGGTTCAGAAATACTTAAACCAATTCAATGTTTACCAGATAATATTTTGGAAGGGCTGAATAAGATTGATTGTTTCACATTTGATGTTGTTACTTCTATAAAGTGTATTCAGAAGGAGTTGAACGTGCAAATTATGGGGAAGTCAAGTCCTATATCTCAAGGGAAGGAGGTATTTCTTGTAACTGATGCGATTAGTGGTATAAAATGGTTGATCCAGTTGGGGCAATCTGAAGGTATTATCGTTTTCCTTACAACTCTGGTCAGAGGATTGCGGAGGGGAATGGAGGGTTATTCTTTTCCTGTCATAGAAGTTTTTTTTGGAAAACTCGCAAAGGATGCTGCTACATCAATTTGGATTCTATGCTTCCTGATTACTCCAGCCTGAAGAATAGCAGCAAAGATTTGAGTTCTTTTAGAAAAAAAGAATTTCCCTCATCTGACAAGAAAGGATGGAACCAAATAAGTAGGGCTGATGTACTTGGTGATGCAGGAGCTGACTTTGTATTCTCAGCCTCAAAGTGTTGCTTGGTTTATGTGTTGCTTCATAGTAGCAAAGATGGTACCATTTTGAACATGGACTCTCCTTTTGAGAAATGTGCAGTGGTAGAGAGTTTTTGGTGGGGGATTTCTATGGAAGTTGTGTGGTGGCATGATGTTGGGTGTATTCAAAGTGCAGCAATGGATGACATGGTTTTACTGAAAAGCATGATAGAACCACAGAAAATTGATGTCAAGCCTAACTCAAAAGGAGAAAAGTCAAATGGAGTTGAGCAGGTTAAAAGGAATGAGGATCCGATGTTCAGGACATGAATATAAATTCTGCTGCTGTTGTAAGGGATATACCTCAGGGAAGAATGAAAATATTTGTGGCTATTGAAGGTCTGAAGACTAAGGAAGAGAACGATACTTCACCAGAAACATTCTATGCTGCAGAAACAACTCAGAGTTGTGAAGATCTAATACTGAAGCTCTTTGCTTGGAAACCAGTGAGATACTGGGAAGGTAGAAGCGTAAGAAAAAAGAAGAAGAAGCTGAAGATATTGGCTGTCTCCTACCGCCCACCTTGAGGGCAAGGTGGATGTTTAGGGAGGGAGTATTGATAGGAACCCACTTATTAGACTAATAATAGAAGTAATAATAATAATAATAATAATAATAATAATAATAATAATAATAATAATAAGTAATAAAGGTCTGGGAAGATTCTAGTATAAATAGACATGAAAGGGAGTTAGCAGTAGGCTTTTAGACGATTAGTCTTGGGACTGGGAAAGATCGGAGACTAAACATCTCTATCTTTTGTGGCTTCGGCTTTGGGGGCTTCGGCCAGTGTCTTCTCCTGTAATCGATCACTTTCATCAATAAATTTTCAGTTGATTTCATGTTAATTTTCTGTAATTGTTCTGGAATTCTGGAGGTTCCTATCACCTTGCAACGCTCCAAATGTCCGACCAAGACCTTCCGTCATATGTGAATAAGGCACAATCCATTGTTGAAAAAGTTAAGGTGATGTTGAGTGAAACTGATCTTTCTAAAGTGTTTGATAAAATTGATAAAATGTGTATGGTGTTTGATCTTTCATAGGGATTTTGATTCAGTGCGGAATCAAATCCTAACGGATCCAAACATTCCCACTGCTGAAGACCTTATTGGTCGACTGTTGCGAGTTCCTACACCAAATGGAATTGAAATTGTTGATCCTCACACAGATTCAGAGTTCTCTGCTCTTGTATCTCGTTCTAGCTATGGCAGTTGTGGTCGTGGTCGTGGTCGTGATAGAGGAGGGCGTGGCACTGGTAGTCGACCTAAGTGTAGTCATTGTCAGCGCATGGGTCACACCAAAGATAAATCTTATGAAATTATTGGTTGGCCAGACAAAATCTGCTGATGCAATGCACTCTGAACTGGTGATACTTGGGGCAGCAGCTAAAAGCACCCAGAATGTTCTGCCAGATGATGAATATAAAGAGTATCTCCAACTTAAGGCAGCTCATCATTCCTCAGCCGCAGTCAACTGTACCGGTAATTCTACAGCATGCCTTTCTCAATCATCACCTCTCAAATCTTGGATCATAGATTCTGGTGCCTCTGACCACATTGTTGGTAATCCTTCTCTTTTCTCAAAGTTATCTCAACCTAAATCAGCGCACCATGTCACTCTTGCCGATGGTTCAAAAGTCAAAGCCATTGGTGTTGGACAGGCCACACTTCATCCTTCTTTATCTCTTAATTCTGTTCTTTTGATCCCTGGTTGTCTTTTCAACTCGGTTTCAGTCAGTGAACTTACACGTCGTCTTAATTGTGTTGTCACCTTTATTGATGGTTCTTTTTCTATACAGATGATTGGAGCACGATTTGAATCTCAGGGTCTATACTACTTTCAGACTTCCTCTGCAGTTGCTTGCACTGCTGTGGAGTCTCCTTTGCTTCACCAACGTTTAGGTCATCCTAGTCTCAATAAATTGAGGAGAATGGTACCTCAAGTTTCCCATTTATAGTCCTTAGCCTGTGAGTCATGTCAAAATTGTAAACATGTTAGAACATCTTTCCAAAAGAGTCATAGTCATGCAGAATCTCCCTTTTATCTTGTTCACTCAGATGTTTGGGGTCCAAGTCGTGTCAGTTCAGTTTTAGGATTTCGGTACTTTGTTATCTTTGTTGATGATTTTTCAAGATGTACGTGGCTTCATTTAATGAAAGAACGTTCAGAGTTATTTGGCATTTTCAAAAGTTTCTGCAATGAAATAAAAAATCAGTTTGATCATATCATTCGTGTTCTACGTAGTGATAATGCCAAGGATTATTTCTCAACAAATTTCAATGAATATATGGCTACTCAAGGGATAATTCATCAATCCACATGTCCCCACACGCCTCAGCAAAATGGGATTGCCGAAAGAAAACATCGACATATCATTGAAACAGCCCGCACACTACTGGTTCATGCAAATGCCCCGCAAAAATTCAGGGGAGATGCTGTCCTCACAACTGTTCATTTGATCAATTGAATGCCATCTTCTACATTGGATAAAAAAGTACTGCACTCTATCTTGTTCCCAAAGGACCCCATTTTCCTTGTCCCCCCCAAAGTCTTTGGTTCTACTTGTTTCGTGCAGGATCTTTCCCCTGGTCTTGATAAATTATCTCCACGAGCAATCAAATGCATATTCCTTGGCTACTCTAGAGTCCAAAAGGGTTACCATTGCTATTCACCTTCTACTCTCCGTTTCTATACTTCTGCAGATGTCACTTTCTTAGAGGATCAACCATATTTCACTTCACTAGTGGAAGTTGAATCTGTCTCTCAAGTCTTACGTATTCCTCATCTTACCCCATTGTCACCTCTCAGTCCTCCATTGTCTTCTTCCAAGCCTCTCATCACTTATTATGTCGACTGCGTTCTGCACCTAATGAGGATGTCCCTAATAATGACCCTGCTGATTCAGCTCCAGCTCCTTTACCTACTCCGGACCAAGCTGAGGCACCGGCTCAACCTGATCTTCCAATTGAAACTGGAAAAGGTATACGTTCCACTCGGAACCCGCATCCTATTTACAATTGTTTAAGTTATCATCGTCTATATCCTTCCCATTATGCTTTTGTGTCCTCCATCTCTTCTGTTTCCATCCCTAAAACTGTCCAGGAAGCTCTTGCCCATCCAGGATGGCGCCAACCTATGCTTGATGAGATGGCTGCTCTTGAAATTAACCATACTTGGTCTCTTGTTCCCTTGCCCCATGGGAAATCTACGGTTGGTTGTCGTTGGGTGTTTACAATCAAAGTTGGTCCTGATGGACAAGTTGATCGGCTGAAAGCACGTTTGGTTGCTAAAGGGTTTACTCAGGTTTTTGGCTTGGCTTATGGTGACACTTTCTCTCCGGGGATCACTCCGCGGTCCGAGGATAAGATATATTTGTGACAAGCTGGATACATATGATATCTATGCACCAGCTTGAGAGGGAGTGTTAAGATTTGATGTGATTCTAAATGATATCCTTCCTGATTTTAGCATTTATTGTACAGATTGAATCAAATCAGGAGTTAGTAATTGATAGATGTACATATGATTCTTTCCTTGTAATTTTGAACCTTAAAAATAAAAATCAGCTGAGAGTAGTTTCTCTCAAGCAAATTCATTCAAATCAGTAAATTCAAGTATCTCAAATATGACCAAAATAATAGGCAAATGGGATATAGACTAATGTAAGTTTTGGCACATAAGAGTGCTATAGAAGTATACGCTGTACTCAAAACCACACAAGAAACCCTCTCTCTCGCTGAAATGTTGAATTGCAAACCCTAATGCAAGACAATCATTCCTTGGAAGCATTATGTTCGAATCTGAATGGACCAAACCTCTTTTTTTGGACTCTACACTCGGGCCACTGATTAAGAAGCAGGGTAGGGCCCCTAATGGAAGAAGCTTTAGTTTGGATGCGCCTTGTTAGGAATTAGGGCTTCGACGAATACACACGAACACACGATTGTAAGATGCAAGATCTAAAGAACACAAGAATTTAAAGTGGTTCACCGGTCAAACTGACCGGCTAGCCCACTATGCAAACTAGAGAGATTTTATTTCTGAGAGAATGCTTTTACAATTTCTGGTGATATTCGTTTAGGGTTCACTAATGATCTATTTATAGAGATGGAAAGAAAATTCCATAGAATGGGCTTTCTTTGGTCCCAAGAAACCTAGCTTCGGCCCCAAGTTACCAAGCTTTGGCCCCAAGCATTATAGCTTTGGCTCCAAGTAACTGGACTGCCTTCGGTCCCAAGTAACTGAACGTCTTTCCTTCACCAATTTGAGTGGATCAGATCTCCACCACCCAACAATCTCCCACTTGGAGGCTGATCAACTCTCTGATTAGCTGCCATCCAAGACTCGATCTCTGTGAAAACCTTCCTCTCTCTCTGCAATCTCTCTTTCTATCTTCATCTCTAGTTCGTGCCTTCTCTTCAATCAACTAGAAGGCCAGTTGAAGCCAAAGCTTCAACTTCTTTGTTATTTGAACTCCCACTGCTTCCTGAAGTCTCACCTGAGCTCCCACTGGAAACCGAGTCTTTAACCAAGTTCTCACCGCTTTCTGAACCCCCACTTGCCCCTGAGTTCTTTCTGTGACTTGATCTAACTTTTCTGCTCTCATTGCAACCTGGAGTCTCAACTGATTTCATGCTGAAACCACGACTCTCTTTGCTCCCACTACAACCTGAAATCTCAAGTGATTTCGTGCTGGAACCTCGACTCTTTTTGCTCCATCTACAACCTGAAATCTCAATCGATTTCATGCAGGAACCTGAGTCGACATAGAAACTTTTTCTGTCACTGCAACTTGAGGTAGGGATGTGCACATTTGTATGAACCAGTTTCTTTCTCCAAACTTTGTTTGGCTGTTTCTTATTGAGGAAAGTAACTCTTTTCTGTCTGCCATGAACACACGGCTCAGCAAAAGTAACTGTCACATTCTTCAGATTTTTGCCTCTAGAAATGTTTTTCTTCATACTCATCCCTTTCTCTTAACTGTTGCTTCTGCTCCATCAGGAATCTCAACCATGTACAATTATCCACTTCTCTGACCTTGAGCAATTACCAAGTTTTCCTTCGTCACCTTCCACTTTTTGTCTCCAAAATCGACATGATGGCCTTCATTGTCTAACTGCCCTACTGATATTAGCATTCTCTTTAAGTCCGGAATATATCTGACATTTCTCAATGTCCAATTTGAACCAAGAGATGTCTTGAGGACAACATCCCCAATACCCATAATATTTAGGATCCTGTTATCTGCCAATCTGACTTTACCACAGTACTGTCTGAAATTCTTCATAATCCCCTTTGATTAGTTGGCATGGAATGAAGCACCAGAATCCATAATCCAGGATTCAACCAGACAGTTTGCACAACACACAAGTGCGTCTTCATAATCTGCCACGTTCATATCCTTCTTGTCTTTGTTTGAGGGATGTGGCACTGATTTCTTTGCAATTCCAACATGTGATGTAATTCCTGCTCTTTGACTGTCCTCTCTTTCTTGTTCGCGATCTACCTCCTCTGTTAGAATTTTTACCCTTTTCTCCAACATGTAAGAGATCTCTGGAACTCTCTTTTGCATTCAATCCGTGAATACCCTCACCTTGGATCAAATCGCGGATGCCTTCAAAAGTAAGCTTAGTAGTTCCGGATGAACTGCTAACTACTCTAACTGTTCCAGACCAACTCTCGGGCAACGAAGATAATAATAATAAGGCTTGAACTTCATCTTCAAATTTAATATCAACTGATAATAGTCGTGTTAGTATCGAATTAAATTCGCTCACGTGATCTGTGACTGACATGCCTTCCTTCATCTTCGTGTTCACCAACTGCCGGATCAAGAAAACCTTGTTTGACGCTGAGGGTTTCTTGTATATGTAAGATAGTGCCTTGATTAGTCCGTGCGTTGTCTTCTTGTTGACAATGTTGTAGGCTACGTTCTTCGCCAGTGACAATCTGACCACACCAAGTGTATGCCGATCTAACAGTTTGCACTCATCATCATCTTTTTAGGTTTACTTTCTTCCAAAGCTTCATGTAACTTTCTTCAATCTTCAATCTGCATCTTCCAAAATCCAAAATCGTGACCGTCGAATCTGTCAATCTTGATCTTCCCGTCCTCCGCCATAGCCCTGCTCTGTAGAGATAATCTTCAACCTACACAGCTTTCTGACGTTCTGAATCTGCCAACCGTGGCTTTGATACCATTTGTTAGGAATTAGGGCTTCGACGAATACACACGCACACACGATTTTAAGATGCGAGATCTAAGGAACACAAGAATTTAAAGTGGTTCACCAGTCAGTTTGACTGGCTAGTCCACTGTGCGAACTAGAGAGGGAATGCTTTTACAATTTCTGATTGATATTCGTTTAGGGTTCACTAATAATCTATTTATAGAGATGGAAAGAAAATTCCAGAGAATGGGCTTTCTTTGGTCCCAAGAAACCTAGCTTCGGCCCCAAGTTACCAAGCTTTGGCCCCAAGCAATATAGCTTTGGCTCCAAGTAACTGGACTGCCTTCGGACCCAAGTAACTGAACGTCTTTCCTTCACCAATTTGAGTGGACCAGATCTCCACCACCCAACACGCCTTACTATAATACTACGTATTTTTTGATTTTTATTATTTGGTTTGTTTCATTTACCCTTGTAAACTCCCTCTAATTTTCATTGATAAAAATTTTCTTCTTTAAAAACACAAAAACAATAAAAAAAAAGTGCTATAGAAGTAGATCATCCACATATCATCTTAACAACACACGATCGAATTCAAAACATAACATGATAACAGTTAAACAGTAAACATGAGAGTCCAGAGCTGGATACACGAGATAAGCAACCTGTACAGTGGAAGTAAGCGATAGTTGAGAATTTCAAAAACCAATATGGTATTCCCAGGCCTGGTTAAGGTGGCTTGGTTTCTCTGTGTCAGGTGCTGCAGCAGAAGTATGGAATAAGAACAAAGATAATGAGCATCAATAAAAATATGTAAAACATTTTATTTGTTTTTAACAACTGAAGAAAGACCAAAGAGGAAGAAGAGAAATTGCATATCCTAAAGTTAAACATGGAGGAAGAGATGGCAATATGTACATACGAAAAATAACATTATTTTCAAACTACTGTCCTTGTATATTTAACAAAATATTTATTTTAGGAACGTTAACAAAAGATTATGAAGCCACTTATAGTTTATAAGTCAACCAAAACCAATTTTCACATCTGCATTGGGTTTAATATTATGTTGTAATTTTCTATAAATCTCAAGCCAAACTAAATCATTTTATTGCGAGGTGAGGTCAGCTAAAAGGATTAAATCATATCATTCGCTCTTGTAGAGTCATCTCAGTGCTAAACGCATACGTTTAAGGTCTCCTCTAGTTGTCTTGGTCAGTTAGGTTAGGTCCTTATGTACAACTTTGATGTTGCATTCCTAAGCATTTGCTCCCTTTAAGAGACATCAACCATCTATGAAGATTCTCCCTCCTCTAATCTCAAATCGGTGCTACTTCGCCTTCTCTTCTATCATGTCATTCCTTATTTTGTCTGCAGTTTTACACTTCTACCACATGTCCATTTCGAAGTTCTCAACTATGACACTAACTTTTTGCCTTTTTGCCTGCATCATAGAATGATTTTAAATTTTCTAAATTATTTTTTTCTGTTTCCTTGCTGTACTCATATCATAAAATTTTGGAAATTGATGTTTCTTGTCACTCTTTATGTTTCAATTCCCATCCCAGTGCAATTAGATTACACATCTTAGTGGTCTTGGGTGGGATGACAATAAGACGATTACGTGTGACTCATCTACATATGATGCATTTCGCTGATGGTCAAATTATGTTCGTCATGTAGTTCTTATATAGCTAATTCAGAAACAAATGTTAGGGCATGGCTTACTAAACTGTCAGCGCTTTTGTTATGAAGCAGTAAGTCCATGCAATTTTTGACACGATTTTCACTAAGGGTCATCTGGAACAGTCTCTCTGTGCTTTAGTAATTAGTACAGAGGTAAGATTGCATACATCCGACCCTTACCCCACCGAAGGTGTGGGAGCCTTTGCGGCACTGGGGTGATGATGATGAATCCTACATATCGAGTGTACCTAGCAAGAAAATTGAGCACTATGAGCAAATGGCCATTTTTGTGGAAATGATCTGCCCCTTGACTCTGTATGAACAAGAAGAGGAGCTAAGGGGGAAAGTGATAGGTTGATCTGCCCTTTGGGCTGTAGAGAATAATAATAGTAGTAATAGAGTGATATTAAATAAGTATGGTATTGTATAAATATGATTCTGGGCCATGTCATAAAATATGGGTTGCCCCTTAGAATATAATTACTATAAGAGTGGGAAGAAGGGAATAAAGGAGTAGGCAAAAATTGGGTTAGGCTTTGGCTTGGGAGAGGAGCTGCTCTAAGTGTCTCAAACTGTATTTTCCTTTCTTTTCATCGATCATTCTCTAGTATACTTCAAAATTACCGATTGAATTTGAGGGTTCTATCATTGGTATCAGAGCAACCGCTCCTGGAGCCTGAATCGATCATCAGCTTCAACGACCTGGAAGACAGTTGAGGGAAGAATATGGACAATAGTGAAAGTCAGTGGAAGGAGATGCACCATATGTTGGGCAAAATTCATCACAGACTCAAGCGACATAGAGACAGAGCGAGGAGCCCTCCTAGACACCGTCGGCTGATTGAAAATAATCAGGTGTCTTCGTCCGTCGCTCTTCCTAGTTCGCAATCGCGAACTGCATCGCGTAGTTCGCAGGCATCTTCGCAAGCGCAGGTCTCTTCTCAGTCGCCAGCACTTCCATCCAATTGTATGGCTTCTTCGCGATCTTCATCTCACAGTTCGCAGCCGCGAACTTCGTCTCACAGTTCGAAATCCCGAACTTCATCATCCATCAGCAGTTCACAACCAAGTACGACGCTATCGAGAGAAGCTTTGCGCTCGCAAATGGCATCGCAAACAGCTTCAGCTTCGTCGCGAACAGTAGCTTCCAGCTCTCAGGCTTCTCTCAGTCGTCCGCAGGCATCCTCATCTACTATCACTTCGCGTCAGAGTGAGAGGCTATCACGAGCAGAATCTTCCTCTCAGATGCAAACAACTCCTTCTAGTCCTCTATCTTCATCCCATGCAGATACGGTCAGTTCTCAGGCTTCAGCATCCTTTGTCAATCCGCGACAAAGTGCTTCTCACAATGCAGAACCTCATACGTTCCATCAGGAGTATTTTAATCAGCCGCAACCTCCCTCAGAAGGGAAAAATTCTGCTAGAGAAGCTGATAATACTTCTCTGGAGACCAAACTGCGGTCTGTGAGTGTTAAGAGTGACCCTGGAGATATGGGAGTTACTGTCAGTCATAGTTAAAGTTTTTATATCTTTATCCTTATATATAAATATTACCTTATCCTTTTTATTTGATCTTTTATATGTATATTCATCTCTTTTATATTATCTTTTTTTTTTATAATAGCTTATCTTTTTTATCTTTAGTTTCTTTCTTTTCCTTTTGGTGATAATGTGATATCATATATCGATTCATGTTAGCCGACCTCAATATCATTTGGGACTAAGGCTTGGTTGTTGTTGTTTAGGACTCTCGGAAGAGCAGATTCAGGTTTAGGGGAATGCTGGTGTTCATGGCATGAACACAAAGTCTGCTAGGGGTGATAATGGATTTACTCAAAACAGTGCTTCTCAAGAGACTAAAGCAACTATACCATTCATAAAGCTTCTGTCCATTGAGCGTAGCCTTCCTATTGATGAGGTGAATAAAGCAGAAGTTATTCCAAAATTTGTATATCTCCTTGAAAGGAGTGACTTACCCCAATGGCAAACTGAAGTTGTTCGGGAACCGGTATATGTTACATCTAGGACAACTGGATATGCAAGGCTTGTCATGGAACAGGGGACTGACCCTAATTTTATACAGCCTCTTAATTCACCCAATGATGATGTTATTAATTCACCTAATGATGATGTTAGTGAGCAAGCTGTCAGGGCTTTGGGCAATGTTGCTAGTGATGCTCCAACCTATAGAGACCTTGTTCATGGTCAGGCTGCACTCTTACATTTGCTAGATCAGCTAAATGAGCAAGTGGTAGGCATAAAAGAAACTGCTGGGATTTTATACTTCACTGGCACTTTTGATAGCTCCTGGGAGTCCCACCTTTATTGTTCCAAACTGTTCCATGAGTTGAACTGTACTCCAGAAATACTATTAAGATTGACACAGGGGAAGAGGGAAACACGTGGTTGTGCTTGATCATCAGATGCATAGATTTGTTGACAATTTTAAATTGTTGATTTCACCTCACATAATCTCAGTTTTCGCCTTGCCTGATGGAAGTTTCAGCATGCATTTGCATGAGCAACCAACCCCAATGAGTATTCCAATACTCAAAATGTTCCAACTGGAAACGCCAGAGATAATTCAAATACAAGCACAACAGGGGAATACTACCTTATATGGGACTCTGTATAAACCAGATGAAAGAAGGTTGGGACCTCTGCCATATCAAACTATGATTCATGTATATGGGGGTCCTGGTGTCCCACTTATCAGTGATTCATGGGAAACCACAGTGGGCATGAGAGCTCAGTTTCTAAGAAGGAGAGGCATCATAGTTTGGAAGCTCAAGGGTACAGGGGGGGGCCTATGCCAATGAATTGTAGGAACGGTGTCTGTTATGGGGTTTATGTGCTGGAAACGCACTTGGACAGTGACCAAAACTGCCGTGCAGACAAGTGGATGGTAATTGGAGAAGTTTGCATGGGGTTATTTGCAGGCATTGAGTTGAGCAACATCAAACTTACACCCAGCACACTGCTAGTTTCCGAAGAGAGAACCTCGAAGGGGCCCCAGGAAAGCAAGGAAAAAATTGTGGCTATTGAAGGCTTGAAGGTTAATGAAGAGAATGAAACTTCACCAGATAGATCCTATGCTGCAGAAACATATGTGAATTGGAAAGATCAAGTACTGAAGATCCCCGCTCAGAAATCAGTGAGATACTGGGAAGGTAGAGGCGCCAGGATAAAGAATTGAAGATGAAGTGGAAGATCAAGGATGTCTCCTATCACCCACCTTGAGGACAAGGTGGTTCTCTAAGGGGGGAGATATGATAGGGCCTTGGGCTGTAGAGAATAATAATAGTAGTAATAGATTGATATTAAATAAGTGTGGTATTGTATAAATATGATTCTGGGCCATGTCATAAAATATGGGCTGGCCCGTTAGAATATAATTACTGTAAGAGTGGGAGGAAGGGAATAAAGGAGTAGGCAGAAATTGGGTTAGGCTTTGGCTTGGGAGAGGAGACTGCTCTAAGTGTCTCAAACTGTATTTTCCTTTCTTTTCATCGATCATTCTCTAGTATACTTCAAAATTACCAATTGAATCTGAGGGTTCTATCAGAAAGCATCTTTATCTACACTTACCTCATTACAAAAAGTCGGACGTAAAAAAAAACAAAGTACTTAATGTTGACAATGTGACTGATAAACTTGGTGATCTTGCAAAAGCCATTCATTCCTTGTATTCTAACGAAGTGATGGACAGGTGATGACTACTGGTTCTGGACCGAGTGAAGAACACCTTTGTTAAGGCAAAAATCTGATGTAAAATGAGGAGGCAGGAATCTTCCAGGGTACAACCTAAAAGTGCTAAGAACAAGAGAACATTGATTGAGAAATTCCATATGTCATTTGTTGCTACTTATAAATACTTTGTTGAATTCGCATGACATACTAATATCAGTTTTGTGAACACTTCCATGGAAGTGCATGACATGGCTATGTCAGGAGAAGACTTCTTTATATTTTGGAATCAAAGCATTAACATTAGTACACTAGCATTGTGGTTGGATTTATTTTCGACTACAACACTTATTTTCCATTCGTCAATCATATTATCATTATTACATCATAATGACTTTGTTATAGTTTGATAATTTTAATTTATATAGGGAGGGAAACTTTCCAACAGGTAGGGTGCTAGTATTCTGGAAAACGAACCAAACAAATAAGTACACTTTTCCCAACTCCATCCAAAGGCCATTAAATGAAACTGATTTTGCAGAAAATCGTGTTTCAAAACACACTTTTTGGGCTTTCAAAACGGAGCCTAAACGCTGTGACATGTAGGTTGAATGTCACTTAAATGTACTAGAATAGATTACATATGTAACAAGCTAGGCACATAGCCAACTTAATCCTTGTGCGCTCGACCCATCTCGTACATATTTGTATTATTAATATGGAATTATGGACCGATTTCTCATCAATATACATATCAATAGAATGCATTAGCAAGTACGCAAATATTATCATTTAACTAACACAAGTAGAAGTCGTGGCAAAATCGAAATTAACATAGTTGCCATAGTTTATGTTCTGTTTCAAAGAAAAGCAATTTCCAACCAATGATGAACATGCCTATTGAGGATAAACCTGACCATAAATCAAGAATAGAGGAAAGATTGATTACATTTAAGTGGGAGCGAAATAGTGAATGAGGAGATATGAGCAGCAACCTACAATATGTTTCAACCATAGCAATGCTAGGTACCTGCAATCATCATAGATAAAATTATGTAGTGTTGTTTGAAAAGACCAAGTGCATATGAAACATAAATCACTTCAATACAACAAGGAGTTTGGTTGATACTGAGATAAGTTTGTGTCATGAAGCATCAAATGCATACTACTCCATAAAAACAAATGCAACATCAATAGTGATTAAATTTTGTTATTTTACATTTAACGCTTCACTAGTACTTAGAGTTAAGAGTTAGGGCTACTAGTAAAGGTTAATAGTGTGTGTCCCATCTTGCATAAAACCAGAACACGAAGAATTGCCGATGTTTTCAAACACCTATAGGCACATCACCGTAGAAGCTTATGATAATGAAAAACTAGTTCCTTCAGGTATCTAACCTGTCCGGAAAACATACAATCCTCCATCTGAAGAGCAAGTTTCATGCACAAATTTATAGAAAACCCTGAGAGCAATGATATTGGCAATGGGACAACTTCACGCATCATCATTATTCTCTCAGTGGACTGCACATTTGGTCCAGTTAATAACTCTGTAAAACCAGCTGAAGTTAACCAATTCATCACCGTTTCACAAGCAGGCTGTGCCATTGTGTAAGATACAACCCAAAACATCCCAATTGATCTATCATCCAAATTCATATAATCCATCATGCGTTCCGCTGACATTTCAAAAATAGAACAACACAATATGTAATTCAAATCCGTGATAATTTACTAAAAAATAATACATTGCTGTTGGATGTTTGGAAGCTTGAAGCTCCAAGTATTTATTTTTATTTCTTTGGTGGATTCCAAATACCTGCCTAAATGTGTAGCTAATTCAAATTGTCCAGAATCATAAATCTCTTCCAACAAATTTGTTTAAAGAAAAACTGAACTGAAATATATTTTTCTTATTTTGAAATAAATACAGGTCAAGGACTCACGGTTATAAACAAAGGTCACAGTTGCAACCAACGCCATCAGAATGCATCCATAACCCGTTTTTTTCTTTCATATCACAATCATGCCCCAATGCAGTTATAGCCACTACTGCAACCACTACATTGTGCTTGCAACCAGTGATACAGTCCGTGAGACTAGGGAGTACATGTACCCTCAAAAGATATTATATCTTCTAGGAAAAAGGTCATAACCCGTTATTGACTTCCTGCCCATGAGACTAGGGAGTACATGTACCCTCAAAAGAACATTCAATTCCCATTCCAACAAGACCACATCACTGGATGTGTTTTTAAGTGATGGAGAACTAGGCTGGCTGCATGCAGATGAATCTTTCTCAGGTTATGCATGAAATGACTTACAACAGTCACCTAGCAGGCATTTCTGGTGAAGAACGAGTAAGATAAATAAGCTTCCCCACAGGTTACTGATAAATCTCTTTATACCCTGCTTTGTAATCCAAGGCTTCACCTTATTTATGTTTTTATTTATGGGTGGTACAATAAGTTTACAGTCCATTATGCATGTCTCTATGTAATATATATCTATGAACATGAATGAAGGATGCGCGCCCGCAGATCCTAGAACTGATCGAGTGAGATTGAAGCAAAACCTTGTGACATGCTAAAATTGTAACAAGTTTTTCAATGGATATTTTAACCCCAAGACCAAGTAAAGCAATTTGTATTACAGGGTAATACGAGTACCTAGTTGGATTTTGGTACATTGTGTTGAAACAATAGGGCTATGGTGCACACTTAAGGAGAAAGAAATCAGGGATAGATATAGATTCAAAAGTTCTTCCCCTTGTAGAGAAGGATCTGATACCAGTGGAACATATTTCCCTTACGTTGAGATGAATCCAAGGCATATACACAGAAGTTTTGTCATTCTGTGATAGGAACCCACTTATATTAGACTAATAATAGAAGTATTAATAATAATATTAGTAATAAGGGTCTGAGTACCCTAGTATAAATAGACGGGTAAGGGAGTTAGAAAGAAGGCTTTTGTACTGTTTAGTCTTGCGACTGGGAAGATCGAGTGTTTGCTCTTTCTTTGGGGGGCTTCGGCTCAGTTGGGGGCTTCGGCCTTTGTTCTTGTTACTGTACTGTTCATCTTCTTCTCTAATAAATTTCAGTTGATTTCTTGTTAATTTCCTGTCAATTGTTCTGGATAATTGGAGGATCCTATCATTGGTATCAGAGCCTTCGATCGCTGGTTGAGATGCTCGCGCGCAAAATGGAAGGGAGAATTAACGACCTGGAAAGAAAACAAAAAGAAACATCGGCAAAAATGGCGACGATGGCAGCGACCTTGGCAATCATAAAGACGGACATCACAAAGCTGGAAAATGAAGTCCAGAGTCGCTCGCGGAACAGATCGCATGTGTCAAACGCATCACATCGCAACTCTCATCATCGCGATTCTCATCATCGCAATTCAAAGGATTCTGAAGAGCAGAGGCTACGAAGGAGAACTGAAGATCGATCGAGCAATTATAGACATCATCCGCCATCGCAGAGGGAGTCACAGACGAAATCGCGAACTTTCTCTCTAAGTTCTCAATCGGGAACTCCTTCTCAAAGTTCGCAGATTTTCTCACCGGCCAGCAGTTCACGTTCAAGAAAGACACGATCGAAAGGAGAGTCTTCTTCACCAAAGGATTCTCACAGTTCACCTTCTTCGTCAAAAGTCAATTCTCGGAAGTCAGCTATTTCAAAGGAGGAATTACCTCTATTCTACGAGCATGAAGCATATGAATGGATTGGGAGGATGGAAAGATATTTACGAGTCCAAGCTATTGCAGAAAGATTTAAGGTGGACGTGGCAGCAAAGGCTATGGGGGAAGAAGCAGATAGCTGGTTTCAATGGTGGGATTTTCAAAAGAGAGAAGACAGATGGGAGGCACTAAAAGATGATTTGATTAGGGATTTTCCACCTAGACACTGGCAGAAGACAGGGAAGACGGCAAAACATGAGTCATCCAAGTCATGAAGAACTTCCAGTTCGCAATCTTCTAAGCGAATTAATGTTACTCCATGTTTGAAATGGAGTACCCCTTTACCCAGCTCGCTAATTAATCATCATCTTCGATCGTCATCAGAAGGAATTTTTACTGATTTGCAGATGTCATCAAAACTTTTGTCCCAGGTTTCCGAATCAAGATGGAATCCGGCTGAACCATCTGTTTCAAATGAACCTGTAATCAAGATGAAACCAACTGAACCTGTAATCAAGCAAAGGAATAAGGAAGATGAATTCAGGGAGGAAAGAGTCCTAATGGTTCCTGAAAAGTCTGATCCAAAGATTCATAAGGATCATGTTTATCTTTTTTCTGAAGAATCTGCTATCACCCGGGGAAACCGCACACAGATTAATGCTGCTGATAAATCTAGCCATGGACAACACCTCGAATTACAACAAGCAGAATTACAGCCATGGGTTGAGAGCATGTTAGACTACCCCAAGCCTGACTTGCATAATTCCCTTAGACTACATGAAAGTTATCAATTGTTGGGAGACATCTATGCAATGACAACTCATAACCTATTACTTCCTGAGGTTTATAAAGTCTTCACAAGGTTTTTACAGAGGTTGAACATAGTCACATGGTTCGCGGAACGATTCGAAACGGAAACGGGGAACGGGAACGCGGTTCGCTAGATCTAGCGTATCCGGTTCGGAGGGGGGTAGGTTCATTCCGGGACGCGTTCGGTACGGTGTACCACATGTTGGGTACGCTGTATATTATATTTTGATACATATATAAAACTGAATTTCATATTTCATAACTCATAACATTAATCAAAAACCTGTATATTATATTTTGATACATATAAAAAAAAATTATATATATATATATATATATATATATATATATATTTTGATACATATATAAAACTGAATTTCATATTTCATAAGTCATAACATTAATCAAAAACAGATTTCATAATCATAAATTATAACATTGAACGAAATAGAAAAAAACATTAATATTCCAATAAAAAACATTAACAAACTGAAAACAGTACCACAATGGCTGAACTACTAAAGAGTTCGTAGGTCTTGATTACATTGAGCAGAAATCGAAGAGCCTAGTCATGGCTGTAGAAACGACTCTGTAAAACGATTCCAAGTCTCAAATTCAAATGAACGCGCCTGTCTAGTTTTCCGCACAGATATCCGCACAGTAAACGACGAGTCTGAACGCGTCTGGTTCAGAGATCGTGATTCAGCGCATTGACGATGGTCTTGCGGTCGAGACCAGGTGCGTTTGGGAACGACCCCTGTAGCGATGTGGAACGACCTCTGAAGCGATTGAGATCGATTGGCGATGCGTTCCGACCTGCGATCCGACCTGCGTTTGGAACGCTTTCGTACCGCGTTTGGGTACGCGGCGTTCAGATCGTAGATCGCGTAGGTCTGAGCGATTTATGTTTCTATGAGGTTGAACCCAAAGAGTTACCAGCAAACTCCAGTTATTAGGGCTCCTGGTAGCATACAGCCTTTGGATGTTCACATTTTACCTTATGTTAGGCAAATGTGGACCAAACCACGACAACATCGTGAAGAATTGGTTATTGATTCACCAGATCTTCTGCCACTATGGTTGAAACCTTTATCAATTGATGACATCAAAGCTGTGAGCGGAGTTTCTTGTGATCATAATACCAGGATAAGTATTCAAAGCAAGAAGCAGGAACTATGGGAATGGAGAGGAATTTCAAGGGTGAAAGAAATGAAGATGAATGGTCAAGTATTGATGCTGATGGGTGCAGTTTACAAAAGGAATGGGCCTAGTCTTAAGTTTGATAGAAGGGAGTGCAATATCATGGAGCAAATGCTACTTCGGGATCAGGATTGGGGAATACAATTGGAGATTGTTGAATTCCTAAATTCAAATATAGAAACACAGTATGACTCAAGTTCTCTTGAACCTTCTTCTGACATGTGTGTGAATGAAGTTCTGCATGAGGTATTCAGTGTGAAGTTTCAATCAAGAGATAGGGTGAAGTCAGAAGCAAATGCTAGGCTGAGGCTGGTCAAGAGTTTTTCATATAGAGGACTAGAAGTTTGGAAAAGTATGACACCACCACCAGCTAGATATTGGGAGGGGAGAGGCACCCGGAGGAAGCGGAATTCCAGAATTGGTTCCTATCATCTCACCTTGAGGACAAGGTGGTTGTTTAGGGAGGGTGTATTGATAGGAACCCACTTATATTAGACTAATAATAGAAGTATTAATGATAATATTAGTAATAAGGGTCTGAGTACCCTAGTATAAATAGACGGGTAAGGGAGTTAGAAAGAAGGCTTTCGTACTGTTTAGTCTTGGGACTGGGAAGATCGAGTGTTTGCTCTTTCTTTGGGGGGCTTCGGCTCAGTTGGGGGCTTCGGCCTTTGTTCTTGTTACTGTACTGTTCATCTTCTTCTCTAATAAATTTCAGTTGATATCTTGTTAATTTCCTGTCAATTGTTCTGGATAATTGGAGGATCCTATCATTCTGTCCCTGTAATTAATAACTCACTTTCTATATTGCACTTTTTACAACCAACCTTCTTGCAACTAACCAACAACTGTCATTAAACATGATTCATACATGATGACATGATTTATAGTATGTATTCAAGATACACTAACGCAGGTAATATAAGGCGTTCTTTGCATTTCACCAGGCTAAAGAGAAAGGTTAGATATTTTAAATTAAGTATCCATGGCAAGTTTTATTGTACTGTATAGATATGAAAGTGGTTCTGTAGGAAATTTAGCCTTTGCTGCTTTGCAAGAATCTCTAAGCAAGTAAGCAGGGTTTATCTCAGACAGATTTAAAAGAAATTGGATCTCCCCAAATTCCTCTCAATCATAGTTTGTCTATTAGAAAATAGAAAGATGGATACAAAGTTGGTAGGGACTGAACAATGATGAAGAAATTTTGCTGTCAACAGATGACTCACATAGTCTCATCAAATAATGATTGATAGACAGTTTACCCCTATAAACTCCCCGAGTCCAGAATCTTTTTAAAGTAGCGCATCAAAACTAACCTTTTAGTATCCCGACAAAATTTGCTGCATGCGATTGAAATCACTTGGATAAACATTAAACAGAGCCAATTGAGTAACAGAATAGGCACCTTTACTCACTTGCTTCCACCATTCATCTATTTGCTTTCCCTTTTGAAGTTGCTCATTGTTCAGATACTCTCTAGTTGATGTATTGAGTGACCAAATCCGCAAGTTCTGACAACTGCTTATAAAGTCAAGGAGGATACTTTGGGGGCTATTAGGGTCACAGCTTTTCTCATCTTTATGAAACGACACAATTTTTTTTGTTGTCTCCGCCTATTAGAAATTTTATTTTGAATTAAAAACTACTTACAAGAATCATGCAAACTAATTCAAAAGGATATATATGGATAATTTTATATAAAAACTTAGCCTCTTTAACTAATCAGAAAAACCCAGATAGAAGTATACACACTAAAAACTACAAGGTGTTAAAACACATTATTTTATGAGTACTATATGCTTTTGGTATAACAGTAATGTATAATGAATTAATGATGAAGGCAGAAGAATAACGACACAAAGACAGCTTGTCCTAAGAAAAACAATTGCCCAGAAGGATATATAATTAATACAAAAATGTGCAACATAGTACACCTTTTTCAATCAATACAAATTTAGAGTTTTAAAAAAGAGAGCTTTTAAATATCCAAAAACATAATAAACTTAATGAATATAATGCATTAACTCCAGAGAACTCTTCCCTGAGATACATACAATGAAAAATAAGGACTATGAAACGGAAGTAGGAGCTGTGGCGCATTGCCTTTTGGAACTCAAAGTACAAAAAGTAATAAAAAGTTGTCAACTAAAGTCATGTGGAACCCAAGTAGATGATAAAACTGTTTATAATGAGCACAGAGCCATAGACAGAAGTAATAGGTTGGCAAGAAATTCAACGCACATCCGAAAGCAACTAGGTTATACCCTTAAACCCATGTAACACAACCTTTCTTGAGTCCAGGTTCAAAGCATTTATCACTAGCTCAACCCGAATAATTTGTGCCAGCAGCCATGTGACATGATTAGTCCTAAGTATATGTTGATCATCTTCCTGGAGCCGTAATACTAGCTTGTCCACAAAGTCAACAAAATCAATGCATCCACTTTTCATAAGAAAATAGAATACATCAGAAAATATGAGCCACTCCTGCCAGCAATTCGTTTCTGCAAAAAAACAGTTGAAATTATCAGTATACAAATATTCAGTTACATACGCAAAAGTGAATACATCATCATTTCATCATTTTCATTTACCCCAGTGCCGCAAAGTGAATACGCAAAAGTGAATACATAAATCATAAAAACGTCAGATCAATATTTTTACAATGATAAAAACATGCCAGCCAGGTTTAATTTAACCTCCCGACTCATAGTGTCACTTTCCACCATATACCTCTATCTTCAAAGGCCAACTAAAAATCAGAAGTAATTGTTTTGAATAGTGCTGCAGCAGGCGCCCGAATGCCCTCAAATAGTGCCTAGCCTGTCAAGGTGCCTGATCAAGCTTAAAGCCAGCTAGAAATGTCTGATCAGGCATCTGCTCCTAGAAACAGATCTGTCTAGGTAAAGTGGGCGTCTAAGGTGACTTTTTACAACATGGGTTCAGAGTATTGTAGGCTAACCCTAATTATAGTAGGCTTAGCCCATTCATGCAGAACCCTAATTTATGTACGAAGTATATTAATAGGGCATCTTGAATACTTTATGGTCTGTAATGTTGAAAAACGCTGCAAGAAATTTTGGTTCTCACACTCTACTTTTCATCATTTTCACTTTTTAGCATCTTTTGAGTCTAAAATTTGAGCATATGTGCAAGGGGGAGAGCCAGCCAATTTCTCCAGTCATAAGAAGGTGCTCAGTGAGATCTCAAGTGCCACAGGCTTCCTATCTCCTTCCCTTCACGCACCTTCACGTGCAGTGAGGACTTTCATGGAGCCATATCCCATCTTATATCCCAGTCTTTTAAGGCCTCATTGCTCCCATTTTGGGATTATCCAACAATTATGAATGTTGATGAATCCAGTGTTGGAATGTGATTATCTTGATTCACTGGTATTGAATTAAAGTTATATGGGGCAAGGAGCTATTAACTACTTTATCAAAACTGTGACTGGTGGCAAGGAACTGTTGAATGCAGCAATGGTACTAGTGGGTCTAAGGAGACTGAAAAATGCTGCAGCCGTGTTGAAGGAATGTTTAGATCTGTATGAATTGTGTGAAAAGTGACAAAAAAAACGTGCAGAAAAGAATATGTGTTAATTCATATTTTAAGACTTGTGAACAATGCTGTTTTCTGGTGTGCGGCAATGATACATGTTACAGAGACATATAGTGGAAAGTGGACTCAAGAAGTAAACGAGGATATCAAGGTTTGCTCCAAAAAAGCTAATCAAATCACTCAAAATTACATATTCCAATTTTCAAGGGGCATGGTGAAACATGTATATATGGAATGATAGGTTAAATTACTCTCTTAACAATGCTAGATTATTCTGGCTTATCTAATACGTTGTATTCAAGTATAAATAATACGGAGTATCCCTCTGCTGCATCGGTGTGCATATGGTAACTATATACATATTAAGCCAAGTAATATGGACAAGTTATTCTTGTTGGGCAAGATTAAAATTATTGTTGAAGGGTGGTGCATCCCAAGTTTATTCTTTCTCTTCATTTGATTTAAAAAACTTATTGTTTTCCATTTCATTCCATTCATTCTTTTCATTACATCCCTCCCTCTTTACGTTATCATTGTGCTTCACATATGTTGCCTATGGTGGCTAGCACAAAATCAGCCATGTCATTCCGCCAGGCCATCATAATATTATTTAAGAACAATATTCTAAATATGTTAAGTTTTTTTAAAATACTACAATTACTAGTACAATAAGGATGTTTTTACTTGGGCTGCTTTCAGTCCCAGACTAGACCAGAAGTCCAAAACAGACCAGACTTAAACAGAATAGACCACACTTAAACAGACCAGACCAAACTTTGACACTTATAAAATACACATAGATCAGCCATCTACCAGACGTCCAGACCAGTTCAAACCAAACCATACCAGATTTAAACAGATCAGACCAACAGACCAGAAATTTCAGTCCAAGTAAAAACATCCTAAATTAGCTTAGATGAGCTAAGTCAACATCCTCTCATCCTATGTCTCATAAATTATACACGATCCATCCACCTTTAACATATTTCAAGAAAACAGAGAAATATCAAATAACACGACCTGAATTAGTCAGCTTTAACAACTCAACAATCCTTTCAATTGTTGCCTCACAGATCATTTCAGATGTGAATACTGCACCAGGAGACAGAGCCTGTCCACTAGGTCTGTGACAAGGTGCCAGAAGAAGTACACGCCTCCACCAGTCTGGTGATGGAGTGCTGCGAAGAGCATGTCTTAGACATCGCACAGCTCTCTCCCAATCCAGACTTCCTCTTTGGATAGAAACAGCAAGATCCTATATCCATATATTTTCAGTTAAGATTCTATTGTAAAGTAAATTTGGAAATCCAAAGACAATCAATGAGAATAGACACAATACTGCATGATTACGTTAATTTATTTCAAACAAAGAGTAATATCTAATTTACTATTAATCATAAAAAACTACATATTAAGAATTTAAGATACTGCATTTAATGTTCTACTGAACTGCAAAAAAAAACAAAACAATAAGAAATAGCTGTTTTAGTCACATTAATTTAAGTCTTTGAGGGGTATATTTGTTCTCCTAGACATAGTTTAAGGGTATATTTGTACTTTCTCCCTTTGAAAAATAGTATATAAAATCAACGTCCTAATATAATTGGAGAATAGTATTACCTCTCCATGTAGCGGTTCTCCTAGCACACTGGGGTATGTAATCGGCGAGTATCTCATGTGAGTCACCTGTTCACAAGGCATATTTGAGGTTCCCTGAGGCAAAAGTCTTGGAGTGCCAAATGTTGGGCAGTGAAGGTGTTGATCTAACATTTGCATGTGCATAGCCATCATATCCCTCCTCCGGTGGATCTCTAAAATAAGAGTGAACAATGCCTCATCATCAGGTATATTTTCTATAAATTGCAACCCACTTCGGAGAAGTTCATAAAAAGGTACACGACATTTGTCATCCTCAACAAGCAACCATATCACATCTAAGCAACTGTGTAGCCACTCAATGTGAGCCTTGTCAAGTTTGCAGTGTTTTGACCCATCAAAGCCATCCATCTCATTTTTTTGGTCCCAGCTAATCAGCCAATTCAACATGTGATGCAAAATATCAGCATGTGTTGCAGGCTTCAAATTAGATTCCAAACCAGTTAGAATTATTTTGTAACACAATAGTTGCAGGCTAGTAAGTGCATTGTCCCATAGGGAGAAATTTGCTCTTGCCATAGACTGTTGACCTGCGGCACTAACATCAGATGACTTCATAGCGGACAAAGTGACACAAGGTGATGTTTCAGCTGCCGGCTGCACAGGAGATCCAATACCATGGATCTTTGGTAAAGGAGATGCAGGATTTGATGACGGAAAATTGGAGGTATTAGTTACTGTAATGGAATTGGACAGCATCACAGAATGTGATAAAGCAGAAGATGGTCCAGTACCAGCAAGTTGATTCCCCTGACCAACACACATGTCTGCTGATGAAACTGAAGAAAGAAGAGATGGAAAGAAAGTATCCCAGTTTATGTACCCTATGCTACACAGGCCATGTATAGCGAAGAGGAGGAATTCTGCTCGGGGAGCATGGCTACTACACTGAATAACCAAAGATATGAGAACAGATTCTGTCACAGCATGCAATTGTTCTTGGTCCTGATGAACCACCAGACAATCAAGATGCAGAACATGTCAGCATAAACTCATTATTCCCGGAAGGAAGCAAGTAAAAGAGCTCTAAAAATTCTTAATGTTGAAGCTTACAGTAAATTGGCTCTGCAGTTGCTCAAAATCTATAAGGAATTGTTCATTTTGGGGAGGAAACTCCCTGTTTAGAGCAGTAACTCTCTTTTGTGCCTTGTTCCTGTGCATCATTTTTATTTAAATCATAATATTCAGCAATTCAAAAATAAAAGAATATAAGAAAATTAGCATAAAATGGACTGCCAGCTCAAATATTTTTTAAATAAGACGATGCTAATATTAAAAAAACACTTGGTTTCAAATAAAATGAATACACATCTCTACAACAATTAATCATTTGCACCGCATTGAATACTGCATGCTCTTTTTTTGTGCAAAATTTACAAAACTACATCAGTTTATAAAACTCCTTTTAGAAATCAGTATTTCAATTTCTACATGGTTTATTATTAAAAACCCAGTTGCAGGCTTTCTACAGTCAGTTAGTAATACTATTGATTCAGAATAAGTGAATACTATCTTTAGCCTAGGGCAGAATGTAATGCTTAGTGCGAGATCAAGAAATTAAAAGATTAAGTGCAGGTTGGTATTCTTTGTATAGAAAGCATGGACACCAAACAAAAATGTGGTGCCCAGTGCACAATGCAGCAACTATGAAATAATAAGGAATATCAAAAGATGCTTCCTGTGTAGTGTGTACAAATAATCGATTAGAAACTAAAAATAGGGTGAACAGCAACTGCGAGAGATGACAGTGATTGACAGATGGAGATCATTATATGTTTACAATTGGCATCTTGGAGCATGTGAAGAGTGCATGGAGCCATGGACTATCACAGTGTATGCAAGCAAAAGGAACATTTCACATTTGGCCGATCATAATTCACATTTAAAGTGGCAAAGAAGAATGTGATCAACACAAACCACATAAAACCCATATCATTTTTTGTAGTTCAAAGCAGCAAAATCAATCTTGAACCTAATAAGTTTAACTCAGGATAAAATAAAAAATAAAATAAACGTACGGAGGTTCTCGGGTTGCCTCATCCTGCTTGTTCCGTGCATTCTTCCGCAATGACATGATATTTTATTTGAAAAAAAAAATATGTAAGACTGAATTTTGGATGAATAATAAAAAAAATAGCACTCCCTCCTTTCCAGTATTTAGCTTCCCGCTACTTTAATCAGATTTATTTAACTAAAAAAGAAATATGTCAATTTATTTCGAAATTTAACTCATGATTTTTTATCATACGAATTAAAGATAATGACAAAACAACTAAGAAGCTAAACTAGAGATGAAGGGAGTATATAACAAGCCAATAACATAGGATGAAAAATAAAATTATCAAAGAACTGAGTAACAAATACACTGGATTAGAGTTGATACCACTCCTAAGTAGAGGTTAAAAAGATCGATCATAGCAGGTCTGGCAGGATGGAGTTGATGACTCCTGGAAGCTAAAGATGAAGACCTCAGCTGCTGTGAAAGTAGCTGTTGCGGCGGCGTTGTCGGCTGTTGTGAAGTAGATTCGTTTTCCGGTGTCGGGTGATTCGAGAGGCTGTTCGGAGTAGGAGCTCTCGACATGGTTTCTCCCTGCCAGTCTTACCTTGGCCAATCGAAAAGATTTCCAGATTCTGCTGTTGAAACAGTGTTTTCGATCAAATATGTCCAACTTCAGCCGGCGGACTAAAAGTAAAATAAGCACAAGTTAGAATCAATAACCATTATCATACTCACTTTCATTTTCAAAACTTTCCTTATTTAACAAATAATCTACATCAAAAAAGCGTCAAACAGTGTCAAAAAGTGCCAAACCAAACTTTCCTTATTTAGCAAATAATCTACATCAAAAAAGTGTCAAACAGTGTCAAACCGTGTCAAACAGTGTGCAAACAGTGTCAAACAGTGCAAAACAGTGCACTCCACAGTAAAGTCAAATTTATTTTCTTAATCTGTGTGAAGTCAAACTGATAAATTCATTATGGGACGGAGGGAGTATTTAGTACCCCGTATAAGACCATTTTAATGATATTATTGACTTAAAAGAAAATGTAAGTCAATCTTAACATAATGAAGGGATAGAGTATTACTTAAAGATGTCAATGGACATGTGGGGATGGTTATACATATAATTGTGTAGGCTTTGTTGGGTGATTTCTCTATTTTGTAATCATTCCATTACTTAATGAGTAGTTTTTTCTGAAACCATAACCGACCCAACATGTATCGAATATAACTGGATGTAACTTTTTTCTTAAAGGAATCATTAATACTTTAATATAAAAATCAAAGTTTGTTAAAAAGGCAAAGAATGACATATTGTCTCTAGACGTGAGACGTCATTTAAATGTCACATACACCTACAAAGCGGGAAAAGAGGCCCAGGTTAAGCCTGTAAATATTTAAAAAAGTCATTAAACAAGAAAAGTTCAAATAATAACACAATGAGCCTCTTCAAATCTATTATGAACTTTCTTTCATACTCCGTATATTGTAGTAAGTACATTCATATATACACAATTGGGACGGGAAAATCTCGTCTTTTTTAGATGTGGGGTAAATGATAAAAATAAATACATGCAAGGTTCTTTTAATTTAGATATTATACACGAATAACTAACTACAGTGAATAATGACTAACATATGTGACTAATTGTTTTTTGAACTTTAATATTAGGCGGATAAGTATTATATCCACAATGGATTATTGAGAAGAAAGTGGAAGATTGTTGGCAATGAAATCACTTTAAAAAATAAGATTTTAAATTGGCACCATACTTCAGGAGGATGACATTCAGGAAGGAAGGCAACCTTAAGAAGAATCAGGACACGGTTTTATGGGAAGAGTCTTAACAAGGAGGTTAGCAACTATGTCAGACAATGCTTGGTTTGTTAAGCACGCAAACATGAGAAAACAGCTTATTCGGGTCTGTTGCAACCTTTACCCATTCCAGAGGAAGCGTGCATAGACATCTCCATAGACTTCATCATTGGATTACCAATCACAAGGGAAGGATGTGATATTAGTAGTGGTGGATAGACTTGGTAAATGGGTTCATTTTGTGGCTCTTTCTCATCCCTTTACTGCAATAGAAGTAGCTCAACCTTATTTGGACAATATATTCAAGTTACGTGACTGGCCCAAGAGCATTGTGAGAGATACAGATGGTGTATTCTTAAGTCAGCTTTGTAAGGGATTATTCACTTTACATGGAACTAGATTCAATCTCTCATCTGTCTATCATCCGCAGACTGGTGGCCAAACAGAAATAGTAAACAAATGTTTGGAAGTATATTTGAGATGTATGCGTGGTGATAACCCCAAAGATTGGAGTCCATGATTACCCTTAGCTGAATGGTGGTTTGACACTCATTACCAAGCATCAACAGGAACAACTCCTTATAAAATCATATACAATCAACCTCCTTATCTTGCTTATTTGCCAAAAGAATCAAAAGTTGAGGTTGTGGATAGATCAACACAATGGAGGGAGGAGATGATCAAAAAGTTCAAGGAATCTTAATAAGGCTCAAGCAATGATGAAACAAATGGCTAATAAAAGAAGTGAAAGAGAGTTTGCTATATGAGATTGGGTATGGTAAAAATTACAGCCTTATAGACATCAATATGTGCAAATGAGGAATAATAAGAAGTAAGCATCCAAGTTTTTTGGACCATTATATTTCATATTAAAGTGGTTATTGGGAAGGTGGCATATGAACTCAAAATGCCTGCAGACTCTCAAATACATGATGTATTTCATGTATCACAACTTATGGGTCAACCTGCAGAGTTATTACCTTAACCTGAAAAGATTTTGGACAAAAGAAGTGTCAAGTTCCGGAATAATGTTCAAGTACAATTTTTAGTACAATGAAAGGGATTTCCCTCTGAGGAAGCATCTTGGGAATCTGCTGAGACATTTATTGATTAATATCCTGACTTTAATATCAACAGATCAATTAATTGACTCGAGGACAATTCAAATCTCTCAATGGGAGGAGGAATGTAACGGTTGCTTTGTTTACTGTTAGTTAAGTAGCGAGTTAGTTGAGCAATTGGTTATAAGTCGTGGTATTTGTTTAGCTACTGTTAAAGTTGTTTAGCTTACATTTGAAGATTAGCAAGTTAATCTTGTATAAATAAGCCTGATAACAGTGAATAAATATTCATTCGCCATTTTATACGATTGATCTCAAATTCTTTCACTCTCTTATAACAATGGAGTTGGTCTCTTGTTAATTATTTCTTCTCCTTTAATAGTCGAGTGAAGCTGATGTTACATGTATGAAGAATAATAGTATGCATTTATAAATAATACATTTGAAAGACACAACTAGGGAAAGTTTTGCCACGTGTCATCTTCTAAGCAAACATTTATTATATTACAATTTTCTAGATTCTCTTTTCAAATTAGTATTTTAATTAAGGTGACAACTCCGGTACCCATTTAAAAAATGAGGTACCGTACCTACCACTCAAATGATTGGTCCAAATCATTAAATCATTTTTAATTTAGATTTAAATAATTCAACTGCAACATTTTGATTGGTCCAAGTGGACAAATGTATGGTACCTTTTGGGTACCATAGAATCTACCTTTAATTAATTAATTAATTATAGTTCGTAAGTTTAGGATTTATAAGTTAGATTAGGATTGCCGTTAATTAGAATTATAGTTAGTTTAGAAGTAAGCTACTGGAATTCTACTCAAATTGTCTTATAGAATTCTCACTGTTTTTTGAATTGATATAACTTTTTCATTTGTAATTCAATTTTTATAAGAAGTATATCAAAATTCATGATTTTTTATTAGCTTTCATATGACACCAATATTGTATATGTAAAAATAAAAATAATTTTGAACATAGGAAAAATGGAAGTCTTTATGCTAAAAACTTTTTTGAAATAAATCCAAGTTTAAAATTAAGATCTCATTATTGTATAACATAATTTCATGCAGCAATCAGGGGACATTTTATTTATTGGCTGAAAGTGTTAATAAAGGCATATTAAGTTTTAAAGCATATATTTAAAAACGACAACTCAAATTGAGTCAACAAAACAACCCAATTAAGACTTTCTTAAAAATCAGAAAGCATAAAGGACACAAGCAAGGAAAAAGTAGAACCTACATGTTTGTGACCCCGAATTTACAAAAAAAAAAAACTTTGGTTTTAAAATGATTTGTCTTTTAGTTTTAATATTGAAAAGTTGCTTATTTAGTCAATTATAACATTGGTTTATAATGAATGTCCAAATTTATTTGAATATGTCTAATTTTTTCACCAATTATCTAAACATGTTTGCAATCTATATTTTTCATTGAAAAGAGTAATTTTTTATAACTCTCAGTTGCATCCCAAACAAAAAAAAAGGAAATGTTCAATGCCTATTTTTGTTCATTAAGTTTCATCTGTGACTTATTGTTTTTTTTCAAAACTAACTACATATTTTTGTAATTTGTTTATCTAAAAATAGATGTAGTCAATTTTATTGAAGATATTATGCCTTCTCGGTTTTAGAATTTTACCAATTAGTCCCTCAACCTATTTCTTTACAAAAAGAGTTCAAAATATATACTTTTGTGACATCCCAATGAAAATATCCTTGATTAGAAAGGTGAACATAAATTTGAAATAGCATCTAGACTCAATATTTCAGCCTATATACCTTCAACTTTTTTATTTGTACTCTGTTTGTCCAAATAAACCTGTATTTATTTTTGACATTTTTGTATTTCACTTTTTCATATTGTTTTCGTTTTTTACGTGTGTAAATTTATTTTCACTATTAGTAATACTTGGTAAATGACAATGAAGATTTACCCTACCAACTTTTGTGATTTGCCTTTTTGGTTAAAGAGAGTTTTATAGCATTTAGATTCTAATTGTGGCGACAACAACAACATTAGATATATGCATCCTTCATATCAAATATCTAAAAACTTGAAACAAATTATAATTACCCCCACACATGGAATGCCTAAACATGCATTGCAACATAAATATACTTGATGTTTTCTCAGTATGAATTCATGTATTCACTTTCTCAAAAGGCAGCGTGCACACATTGTAGAATTGTTGGATAATATCACATCTCAATAGATCTTAATCTCTGTTGAAGATATAGTTGATGCATGTATGTTAAAACAATAACATTATAACCCGAACTAATGCATTTAAAGTAATTTTGCCTTTACGTACCGTTGCCATGAAAATATGGAACCTAGAAGTCTTATATAGAACAAAATTGAAAATCCATAACAAGTAGAACTACTAACAAAATTTAATATTTGAATTAGATCAACAATATATATACCGATACTCACCACAAACGAAATCAAATAATAATACAACCTTATTATTCCTCAAATCAGTCAATGGCGAACCCACAAATACGTACCCTTAACATTTTTTTTTTCAAATTCACTTTTAGGGCACTCCATTAATTGTTCTTAAATGCATTGTCGTCTAGGAAAGAATGTTGGACAACTATTATAAAAATAATTCGTTTATGGTTCGTGGATTGCTCTTTCAATGGAATTATTGTTTATGGTTCGTTCATATCATGAATCGTAAAACTCAAGATATTTATTTAAGTAACATCCCAAACAATGATATCTATTTTTAAACTACACCTCTTATATTCAGAAATAAAAAATTATATCAATTTTCACG